CTTTCCATATTGAAGCTCAGAATCTTAAAAACAATACCAAACGGAATGAGGCCATCTGGTTTCAAGGGCTTATCAATGAGGCCTCAAATGAAATCAAGATGGTGGCCCCTTGAAACCCTTCTCTCACAACCATGGGGCAATTTGGCTGCCATCTTGACTTTTTTGATCCAACCTCACCCCTCATGGCCTTTTGCATACCCTGGAAACTTAAAGGCAGGTATTTTATGAAAACAGCTTCTAAGACTGGATGCCAACTGGAAATAAATAGTTTTTAAAATGATATACTTGGATCAAAAACTTTTTAATTACTACATGGAGAATTACTGGAAATATGACCTCAGCAAGAGTATTCATTTAATGAATAATAATTTATTAAAATTGTATGCCACCCAATTTTCACAGACTCTGGGCAGTTCACATGAACAAAAACACACAAGGGAAAGTTCTCTTAGGACCTGGATTTCTAGATCCTAAGCTATATGCAGCTTATATATGTTTGAAAACTAGCTGAGATGGGCAGCATACAAGTTCAATGAATAAATATAGGTCATCATAATTAAGCTTGGTTTGCATTCATTCCTGTTTCTCTGCTCTTTCACCTTGCAAATACGCTTAATTCACATTTTCAGCTTAAAATTGGAAAAATGTAATTGTCCTCCCCTGTGGCATAAACAATTTTGCCATAAATAACTAGCAAAAAAAGCCTTTATCAATAATTACCGCCTTGCGTGGAAAGCAGAATTATTAGTAGCTGAGCATATGGAAGCATTGGCTCCAATGTAAGAGTACCAGATTTAGGATTTGGTAGCCTTGCTTCAGTATGTTTCCAAGAAATTCAATATTTGCATCCCAGAATTTAAGATATTATATACCCTAGCCTTTTAGAACGGGTTACTGTAGAAAAAAAATAAGTGAAGCCTTTTGCAGGAATATAAAAATGGGATCTGTATAGCCAACAACTACTTTTAGTTAAGGTTTGTTGTAATCCCACAGCCAGTTACCTAGGAATAAAGACTGCATAAAAACCCTTGGAGTACATACACCACTTTCAGTATAGTAAAGCAGCGAGTATTTAAAAACAAATCTCCTTAAAGATAATAACACAGGAACAAAACGAAGCAGTCATTATTGCTAGCCAAAAGGGAAAAGCAAAAAAACTGAGCAGAACAAAGCACAATGTGTGAGAGAATGTGTTCTTCCTAGGATAGGATTTCTGCTGTACCTTTCAGGGTCCCACAGAGGAAACAAATTAACTTCCTTAAACTCCACCTTTTATAGCACCTGTCCCTCCACTTCGGAGCCCTTTAAACAATCTGAAATCAGTCTCAACAACACCTTGGTTAGCGGCAGTGACCACTTTCAAATCGGAGTTGCACCTGTAGAAGAAGTTGGTTGACTCACCTGGTAGCAATCGGCCTAGAAAGTGTTTTCAGGATCCAGTGTGTGAAATATATTGTACTGTGAAACTGCTCTGTATATGTTAAATACTTTGAGGTGTTTTGTTTGCTTTACTGCATAAAAAAAAAAACCTGTTGCCTTGACACTCCTCCCTGGCCTACAGCTTTAAAGTGTATGAATTTGATCACAACTTCCTTGTTCACTTGACAACAGCTCTCATCGAGGTTACCTAGATGGAATTGAGTCTAACTGCATTAAACCAGAGCATATTGAGATATTTAGGGTGGGGCTGAGAAGTCCAGCTGATATTTGCGTAGTATATTGGAGGCTACTATCAAAAAAGGGAGGGGGCTACAACAACAAAAGTAGGCAAACTCCAGGTAATATGGTAAATACACTGAGCTGTATTCATCTGGATGTCTATTAGATGGAGTAGAGCAGGGGGTTTTCAAACTTGGCCCTTTTATGACTTGTGGACTTCAATTCCCAGAATTTCTCAGCCAGTGTGCCTGGCTGAGGAATTCTGGGAATTGAAGTTCACAAGTCACAAAAGGGCCAAGTTTGAAGACCCCTGGAATAGAGTATAGAGTAGAGTATGCTGCTATTCAACAGTTTTATAGCCCAAATGAAATATTTTTTCCTGTTAATATCTTTGGTATGTGGAACTATCACTTGGGACAGCCTCTCCCTGGGGGCTATTTTAATCTACTTCATTTTATTGGTTTGGTTATATTTTTTATGAAGCTTTTGTATGAATTTCCTTATTGGACAACTGAAAACTTGTATGATGGGCAGGTTTTAAATAAAGCCTTTCAGGAAACATGAGCCTTGGAGCCTTTTTCTGTAAAGAGGTATAAGCTTACAATTTCTTCTTTGTCCTTTGTTTCAGATGATTGATTGGTGTGAGCAGAAATGTAGTATTTGTCAGAAATAATCCAGATAGAACATGTTGCTGAGAAAGCACGCTTAATTTGTCTGTTAAATATTGATGTGTATATTATGTAAATTATACTGCACCAACTGATGCATCCTAATAAACTTAACAGTAGTGTAGCTTCTAACTTTGATAGAAACAATGGATTCTTCCCACTTCTGACAGATGATAGATCTAAGCTACTTTTCTCTAACTGGTGGCTTTAGGATATGTTAGATATTTCTATCAGCATTTTGAAATTTTGCAAACTGGATGCACCATGGGGAAGGGCAAATCTTTGTTTCTTGGGGTATCTCAAGGCTGGTATAAATCGAATGAGATAGTGACATTATAAATGAACAGGCTAAATCACACCTCATTAGGCTGTACACAGGGAAATTGTTTTGGAATTGACCCTTACATTTATTGATTTGTAAGTTAGTTTTATAATTCAGGTTCTTAGATTCTTTCTCCCAGAAGAGAAAATTAGTACATCCAGATATAACGTACGCTAGAATTTTATCCATGACAAATTGATTTTCAACTTGCAAAGAGCAATTCCAATCAAAGCGTACTTGTATAAGCCAAGGGTTGTAACCAAGTTGAGGAAATGAGCACAGTTTCTGCAAACAGGTAGGTGCCACAAAGAACAAAGAAATAAGCCGGGGTGGGTGGGTTAAAAAGAGTAGGGGCAGTAATTACTCAGGGCAGATCAGAGCAAAGAGGGACAAAGATCAGAGGATGAGATGAAAAGGCCCCAAACAGCAGGGAGCCTGCAAAGAAATCTGAACTGGAGTCTTCTGAGGTGTGTGTGTGTGTATGTGTGGGTGTTGAGGGAGTCACCCATAAAATAGAGGGGAAGAAACAAAACTTGGACAAGTAAACCTGAGAAGTAAAAAAGGAGCCAGGGGTTTTAAAGTGAGACATAAAGATGACTTGAGAATAAGACAGAAAGCAGCTTGATTTATGGTGGGGCAGCCAGCTTCAGAAGCCAAAAGGGAGGGTGTATACAGGGCAGGCAAATTTCATCTTCCAAGGCAGTCAACCCAGTTGTCAGCAGGAGGAAAGACTGAAGCCAAAGGGAATGAAGAGCTTGCCAAATCCATATCTGGTGTCTGGACCCAGCAATGATCGCAGAGTATGTTATTTTTATTCTGTATTTATTATTGTTTCTAAATAACTCAAGGAGGCAAACGTATCAATACTTGTTCCTCCTCCTATTTTCCCCACAGTAGCTACTTTGTGAGATGAGTTTTGGGTTAGGAGGAAGTGATAGGCCCAAAATCACCCAGCCAAAGGCAGGACTACAATTCACAGTCTCCTGATTCCTAGCCTGTTTTAACCATTAGAGATTAGACCAAACTGGCTCTCTGGATAAATATGGTCCAACATGGTGATATGATCCAAAATATCAAGATGGCAAATGGGATGGTATAATGAAACTTTACCTGTTTTTAATGGCCCATGCAACATTTATTAAAATAGGCAGAGCTTTGATTGCAGGTTATGGCTGCCATTTTGACTTTTTGGCTCACACACTGCAAACATCCCTGCAGCTGCTGGAACAGATCATGTCTGGAAGAAGCGAAGAACCAACACTGTTCTAGCAGCTAAAAAAGATTTTGCTTAGAAAATTTCTGGCAGCTTACAGCCTTTGGATCCAGGGCTGGTTTAACGTAGTGTTTTCCTTCTAAAAACAAACAGCCCACTAAACAATCTTACCCCTCTCTGATTATGTGTCTTCCAATTGGCATTGATTTTTAGCAACCACATAGATTTTCTCTAGGGTGATCTGTCTCTAATCTGGCCTTTCAGGTCTTCCAATGGTGCACCTATCACCATTGTAACCGTCCATCCACCTTGTTGCTGGTCATTTTCTTCTTCCTTCCTTCCTTCAACCTTTCCCAGCATTGCAGCCTTTACCAGAGAACTGTTTTTTTAAAAAAAATAATATTGTATGTCTGAAGTGGGATAATTTGAGCCTAGTTATTTGTGCTTTGAGTGAGAACTCTGAGTTGATTTATTCAATAATGCCTTGGTTGTTTTCCTTGCTTGTCCATAGCATTCCCAGGAGTCTTCTCCAACACCAGACTTCAAAGGAATCAATATACTTCATTGAAGGCTAACTTTTGCCTCTCTAGCATGTCACAGGGAATTAACATGGCTTGTACAATTCTGATCTTTGTTAAGTATAGACACATCACAGCATTTGAATAGCTTTCCGAGGCCTTCACTAAGTTTACCAAGTACTAGTTTGTGGTATATTTCTTGATTGCTTGATCTTTTACTGTTGATGTTCAGTCCTAGAAGACAGAATCCATCCATCATTTTGATATCTCCATTGTTAGTGCTAAGTCTTGAATTGTTGTACCTCGTGTCTATGATATCTTCCTCGTATTTAACTTTTAGTCCCATTTTTTTCCTGGGATTCTTTACTTTTATTACTAGAACTCGCGGGTTCTTTGGATTTTCGGCTTTCAGGGCACCGTCATCGGCATCTCAAACCCCAGTCCTTCTAAGGGACGAGAAAACAAGATTATTGCACTTGTGGAGTTGCCAACCCATATGGAAGAGACTCGAGCAAACATACTCCGGTCACTAGAAGGCGCTACGTTCTTCGGCTTCGAAATAGGAAGTCCAAAGCCAGGAGTCTTTCTAGGCACTGGTGGGAAAAAAATTACTGGTGCATGGAGAGTTCTCCGGAGAGGAAGTGAGAAGCCGGGTGTCGGGAATTTGGTAATATTACATGCGGGACAGGGGGGATCGTTTTCTCCGGTCAGAGGGCGAGCCGGGTCTCAGCTCTTTTTGGGGTAGGAAAGAGAGAGAGCAAGCAAAAGTAGAAGCTGAATCCCAAGGATCCTCCCCGCATAAGTGGAAGGAGCCCGAAAGGTCGTGGGCACCGGGGATCATCTGGTGGTCTCCTTTTCCTCTCCGCCTGGTGGGATTTTTATTTTTTTTATTTAGCGAGGTTATAGTTTAGTGGTTTGCACCACTTTCCGAGGTTAGTTTTAAATAACTAGGATTGTGTGTGGTTGTACGCTAAACGCCTGATGTAAGCGCAGCTCATAGAGTAACCACGCCGCTTTGTACAAGGGGAGCCCCCGAGCTAATAGGTTTTTCCGTGCCGTGTAAAGGGAGGCAGCAAGTCGGGTGAGAAATTCGAAGAAGTTAGGACGGCAGCATCTCTTGTTAAGATTGACCGGTGGGAAACGAGAGAAGGGACTATTTTGGGCATTGGGTGGGGCTCACGTGCGGGAATCATTGGCGATTTTGCCTTGCGAGCCTCGCTGGGACCCCAGCCTGAGGCTCCTTATACAAAACCTGCACACATGCTGCGTTCAGGGAGCCTCGTTCCTACGGAAGTGGGGCCTGTGATTGTTGCCTTAGGCAGGGTAAGCGTATGCTTCCTTTTTTCTTTTCTTTTCGTTTTTAAGTATCGAGCACCTTGGACAAAATCCCTGTAGTTTTCCTGGTCAGAATTTTGGAAGTGAATTGTCCTTGTCTCTTTCTTCTCCCTAAGGTTGAGACAGAAGGACTGGCCCGAGGTCACTCAAGCTGGCTTCGGTGCCTAAGGCAGGACTAGAACTCACGGACTCCTGTGTTCTAGCTCAGGGGGTCTCCAAACTTGTGACTCCAGACTTATGGACTCCAGCTCCCAGAATTGGTTGGTGAATTTTGGGAGTGGAAGTTAACAAGTCTTAAAGTTGCCAAGCTTGGAGACCCCTATTCTAGCCTGGCATCTTAATCTCTACACAAGACTGGCTTTCTACATATGGTTAGGCTGTTTTTTGGGGTTTTTTTAGTAAGTAAAGCCAGTTTGTTATTCAATTTCTGTAGCTGCCCATTTCAATGACTCTGAACAATTTACAATTTCAAAACTATAAACACAATTGAAGCAATAAACATTTAAAACAATAATATCCAAAATAAATATACCCAGCAGCTGAGATAGTTAAGCATATAGAAACAGGGCCTTTAGCACATTCATCACCCGAGGCTCTGGAACAGGGGTGTCAAACTGCCGGCCCGTTGGCTGGATGCATCATAACGAAATCTTGCCCACCCCATTGCTGGCAATGGCAAAAAAAGTCTCAATACGTCATGATACGTCATGTGACATTGCAAGTTTGACACCCCTGCTCTGGAAGAAAGCTAGGTTTTTAAAGCCTTATGAAAAGCTAACAGGACTGGGGCCATTCTAGCAATAGCACTTAGACTTATATACCGCTTCATAGTGCTTTACAGCCCTCTCTAAGTGGTTTTACAGAGTCAGCATATTGCCCCCAACAATCTGAGTCCTCATTTTACTGACCTTGGAAGGATGGAAGGTTGAGTCAACTTTGAGCTGGTCAGGATCAAATCCTTGGCAGTCGGCAGAGTTAGCCTGGAATACTGCCTTCTAACAATTGCACCACGGCTTTTAATCTTTGAGATTATGTAAAATGTCTCCAAGATGATATAAGACTATATTATGCTGATGCCATTGTCAAGGCTATTTACCATTTTAATGACTTCAGAATTTTGTTATTTTTAGCACATAATTGGAGGCTTCTCGCTCCTAGGGATGAATATTATCAATCTCTATATATTGTGTTAAAGTTGGAAGTTAAAAATCTCACAGGTGGTATCTTTTGACATTTTCTGATTCTAGGATTCCAAGTTACAACTTAACTTAGTTTTCTTTTGAGAAGATGAGAAACAGGATGATATAGGCAGTGATGAGAAATACATTTGAGAAGGGACTATGATATTTATAGAATGCCCTATGTATGCTGAGCTTCCATATTAAAGTGTCACAAGTTACAGAGCTGATTCCAATTTGCATAGATTTGGCAATGACTAATCCTCTTTAAACTCAACCCTACTCGCACATGCACACCCTGTTAATGGCTTATGCTATATTTACAGCAGTGAGTTATTCAGGACGGGGATAACAAAATCTGAACTCTAACACAGCTGGAGTGTAAAGACTGCTCAATTCCTAGATCTGATCAGCAAGGTATGTCAGGATCTGGAATCCTACTTCCTGGGTTAAATTAAATTTAGTGTTTTAGATTAATCTCAAGAGAATGATAATGGTAATAGAAGTGGAAGGGACATTGGAGGTCTTCTAATCCAACACCCTGCTCAAGCAGGAGATCCTATACCATTTCAGACAGATGGTTGTCCAGTCTCTTCTTAAAAGCCTCCAGTGATGGGGCACCCACAAAGGCCAACAGTTCCACTGGTTAATTGTTCTCACTGGTAGGAAGTTTCTCCTTAATTCCAGGTTGCTTCTCTCCTGGATTAGTTTCCATCCATTGTTTTTTGTCTTGCCTTCTGGTGCTTTGGAAAGTAGGTTGGCCTCCTCTTCTTTGTGGCAGCTCCTCAAATATTGGAACACTGCTATTATGTCACCCCTATTCCTTTTTTTCACTAGGTTAGTGAAAAGTAGCAAGTGTGTAAATAAAAGAAAAAGGAATAGTTCAGTTGTCTAACGAATCCAGCTTTTTTTCACGGACCAAATTTCACTTGTGTGAAGAAGTTACAGTTTGCTAAAACTCTGAGTGAGACTGGAGTCAATAAATATAAATTAGGGCTATGCAGGGTTTTGGGTTTAAAGGCAGACTTTTTTTTGGTACATAGGTATGTTTTATATCCTCTTTCAGCAACTCTTTATATTAAGTGAATGTTCTTCCAAGTTTGTACTATTGTTGGTAAAGGAGCTATGCTGCTCACCCAAAAAGACAGAACAAGAAGCAACGGGTGGAAACTAAGCAAGAGAGAAGCAACCTAGAACTAAGGAGAAACTTCCTGACAGTTAGAACAATTAACCAGTGGAACAACCTGCCTTCAGAAGCGGTGAATACTCCAACACTGGAAGTTTTTAAGAAGAGACTGGACAGCCATTTGTCCAAAATGGTATAGGGTTTCCTGCCTGAGCAGGGGGTTGGACTAGATGACCTCCAAGATCCCTTCCAACTTTTATTATTGATCATCGTACAGTCAGCCAGATGTTCAGACTGGATTTGGCATTTTGTCTACCTATTGAGTCCTTACCCAGGACCTGGGATAGGCAGATGTGGATGTTTGATGGTATTACAGATATCGTCGCAGGATGGAAGCAGTTCCTAATAAGGCTGCCTTTTGCAATTGACTAATAGCGAATTTGTCAATGCCAATGGTGTTCAAGTGGTGCTCCAGTTGTTTTGGGATTGCACCCAAGGAGCCTATGACTATTGGTACTACCCTTGCTTGCTTTTGCCACAGTCTTTCTATTTCTATTTGTAGGTCTTTGTATTTTGTTATCTTCTCCAGCTCTTTCTCGTCTATTCTGCTGTCTCCAGGCACTGCCACGTCCATTATCCAGACTTTTTTGTCTTTCTTATCGACAATTGTTAAGTCTGGGGTGTTATGTTGTTGTTGTTGTTGTTGTTATTATTATTATTAAAAGATGCTGCTACTTTAAGGAGATACCAACAGAGGTTGTCTGAGGGTCTCCATAATCTTTTATTTTTGAATCCAAATTGCACACTCCTATGGTAAATCACTACACTATATAAGATAAAGATGCTGTGATTTGTATGTTAATAATAATATTCATCCAGACTGAGCTGGAAGCAATATATTTTCTTCTAATTTATCCCAGCCTAGTGTGATCCACTGGATTTGAGGGAGAGAAATCCCTCTGACCGTTGGACAAAAAAAGATAATTTATCCAACAGAGGCACTCTAAAACCTGAGCAGATGCCGTTACATGATGAGGTGTCGGTTGGACTGGTAGATGCAAAACCCATCTCCAACAGTGCCAGCAAGAGGAAGAGAAAAAGTTCTCTTTCTGGGATGAACAGTTGTGAGAACAGCCTCAGAAGTTCAGGGGAGCCAGTTGAGATGGTCGGCTGCGCAGAAAGGCCACACAGCCAGTCTCCCGAAAGGATGCAAGACGAAGACCAAATAGCTTGCGAGCCTTTAGGAACCACCACTCTCTCCAGACTTCTTCCTGGGCCAATCTCGAGTCCTAAGAAGCGAAAGCTGATTTTGCACATCGATTTGAACAACACCATCCTGGTGTCTGATTCGGTTACCAAACAGGACCCCGGTGATGCTTTAAACTATTACCTGAGTACGGTGACCTGGGGAAAATTTAGCCAGACAGGTAAGATCATTTGGTATGTTGGGGAATTTACAATCTTCCATTTTGGGCCTGGGATAGATTTTTTTTTTAAATCAATTACAGCAATTATGAACTAAGAGTTTCATGCCCCAAAATGTCATTAGGCAAGAAAGAACATGTGCAAATAGTCCTCGACTTATGACCACAATTGGGATCAGAATTTCTGTCACTAAGAAATACAGTCATTAAGCTGAGTTGCACCAAATTTTATGACCTTGCTGTGGGTTGTTAAGCAAATTCCCATGGTCATTAAGCAAATCATGCAGTTGTTCAGTGAATCTAGCTTTCCCCATTGACTTTGCTTGTTGGGAGTCCCTTAGGAAGGTTGTAAATGGTGATCTTATTTATTTATTTATTTATCATTTATTTATTTATTTATTTGATAGGCTGCTTGTTGGGAGTCCCTTAGGAAGGTTGCAAATGGTGATCTTATTTATTTATTTATTTATTTATTTATTTATTTATTTATTTGATGGGCCACCCATCTTACCTCAAGAGGACTCTGATGCTGTGACTGTCATAAATACATGCAAGTTGCCAAGTGCGCACATTTTGATCACATGACCACGGGATACTGTGGTGGTCATAAATGTGAGGACTAGTTATAAGCACGAGGACCAATCTCAAATCACTTTTTATAGTGATTGAAATCATTGTAACTTCAAACAGTCATTAAAACAATAGGTCGATGACTACCTGTATATCTAATATTCTTTTTCCTCTGGCAAATAACTTGTGTTGTAGGTATGGAGATAAAAATGGATACAGTTCACCAAACATTATGGGGTCAAATAATTTGTGGGGAAATATAGAAGACATTTTTTTAAATATTCTCCAAAAGTATGCTGGAATTTTGCTTCTTGTCAGTTGAGAATTTCTTGCGTACTGTTTTCTTCAGGTTATTCAAATTCTGCTCACGGGTATCTTGAGGACTATAAGCAATACATTTGGAATTCTTTCTCCAAAATCTCTGGCTGTAATAGCCCCATCAGCCCCATCCTATAATTTGATACAGTATAAAATTAATACATATACATCAGCCTTGCTGAAAATATTCTGAGCTTGAAACAAGGCCATTTAAAGATTAAAAAAGTGAAGTCAGAATAACCCACTTCACCTATTTCAAGCTTGAGTTGTTTTGAGTTCAGTGTGTTTTCTACAGTTTTATGCCAAATGCATTTTGAACTGCTTCAAAATGATGATCACTTCTTTTCTCCTGAAAGAAGAGTTTCACTGCTTTTTAGGAGAGACCTTAAAAGCTGTGAGGCATAACAAAAAAACCCAGATGATTTTCACAAATAATAGTCTGGGGTCCTTAGTGCTCTCTGATCTTGATGATGTTTCCTAGTTTGGTAATGAAACTTCTGCAAGAAAACTACCAAGCTCCGAGAGCAACAAGGACCCCACAGTTAAACCCTGAGCTACAAAAATATTCTCTTCTATTAAAACAATACTATGTTTTTGAACCTGGAATTGAAAAGTTTTTCCCTTAAAGCTCAAGCCATTTTCGTCCGTTTGACATCTTTAATTTTTGTGTTTTATGTTTAGTTGATTTGATTGTAATTTGATTGCTGTGAGCCACCTAGAGTCGGGCAGCATATTGGTGGTGGTGTTATTACAGACCTAGAGAGCTTAAAGCTGCGGTTTTACCCACACCCTACTTGGAAGCAAGCTTCTGAACTCACTGAGGTTTTATGGCTGAGTAGCTCTGCAGAAAATTGCTCTGGGAAGATTGCGTATGTCTCCTTCCCAGCTTCATTGTTACATTGCCCAAGAGCGGTAATGTACGTGACACAGGTAGTCCTCAACTTATGATCACAATTGAGCCCAATATTTCCATTGCTAAGCAAGACAGTTGTTAAGTGGGTTTTGCCCCATTTTATGACCTTTCCTGCCATAGTTGTTAAGTGAATCACTGCAGTTGTTAAATTAGTAACACAGTTGTTAAGTGAATCTCGCATCCCCATTGGCTTTGCTTGTCAGAAGGTCACAAAAGGTGACCACAGCACCCCGGGACACTGCAACCGTCATAAATACATGACAAGTGTCCAAATTTTAATCATCTGACCATGAGGAAGCTGCAACGGTTGTAAGTGTGAAAAACGGTCATAAGTCACTTTTTTCAGTGCCATCGTAACTTCAGATGGTCACTAAAGGAATGGGGGACTTGTCAGAAGGGGGACTACCTGTATTTTCAACAGTGAGCCTGCAGTACCCATTTTGAGTCTGATTGTAATTTGGAAACCTGGAATTTCAAGCCTCTGGTGTTTACAGTCCCAAACCTTGCCTGAACTGCCATTTTGCTTATGAAAAGTTCTGGAAAACATGAAAGATTTTTTTCTCTCTTTTAGGATTGTTTGGTTCATCTCAAGAAAGCTGGCAACCAGTTATGAACATTATGTTAATTGCAGTTTTAAGAAGGTTATCTCTTCCCTCTAGCCCAGTGATGGCGAACCTTTTAGAGACCGAGTGCCCAAACCGCAACCCAAAACCCACTTATGCATCGTCGGGTGCCGGGTGGCCATTGGCTGAGTATGGCCCATTGGCTGGGTGTGGCCCATTGGGTGGGTATGGCTGCAGTAGTAACAGCAGACTAGGTGGGACTAAAAAGTTCAATCAATCAATTCCAACTCTGCAAGATCTTTTTTTTTCCCGCGAGAAGTTGAAATTGACTGATTGAACCTTTTTTTTTTTTTTTTGCACACGGCAGCAGAGGCCTAAAGCGAAAAGGTTTTATAAAATCCAGCGGAAGGCCTAGGACTGGGGCGATGGCGCGTGTGCCCACAGAGAGGACTCTGAGTGCCGCCTCTGGCACCCGTGCCATAGGTTCGCCACTACTGCTCTAGCCTGCCTGTGGTGGTGTGTGATTTTTTGGGGAATGCTGGTATTTGGGCCCTACTTTGGTCATGAATAAATAATGCGTAGTATTTATATAGCTTTTTATTTTTAGTGTTTTCAACCTTGGGGGCATATTATCTCAGCCCTACAGTGCTACAGAAAATCTTCTAGAGATCAGTTGTTCTTCCATGCTGCTCATTTACCTTACCCGAATCAGGTTAAAAAAGAGCTCTATGGCTTAGGTTCAAGTAGTCCTTACAACCATTTGTTCAGCAACTATTGGAAGTTATAACGACACTGAAAAATGTGACTTACAATTAGTCCTCAAACTTACGACTGTTGCAGCATTCCCAGTCACAAATTCTAAATCTGGGCACTTGGCAACTTGCATGTACTTTCAACAGTCACAGTGTCATGCGATTGGCAAATACATGCAATTCAAATTCCTGAGTTTTGGATAGAAAGTCCAAGAGCTTTTTACCTAACCAAGAGGAACCTTGCGGAAAGAACCATGGTTGCATTTAACTGCCACTAAGGAAATAAGCCATCATCCATTATCTTTGAAAAGGCTCCCCAGCAACAGCAGCGGCTGCAACCAAGAGGGATTTTGTTCCTCACAGTTCTCATGATCATCTTTCTTGTTTCATCTTAACATTATGTGGGCTCACTATTTAGTATTAAACATCCTGCCTGTGGCTGACAGATTGGTTGAAAACAATTTAATTCTGCTCGACTATTAGCAGTTGGTAGGCATTTGTTTGATTTTATTAATACAGTGTCTAGCACAATATTAGACGCATTATTAACAGAGCCTAATGCATGTTAAACACATTATAAATAAAGAGCTGCAGCAGAGTAAATGAAAAAGAGGCAAGGTAGAAAAGAGAGGCTGGGGTGGGGGGGGCACACCTGCTTGCTAAGTTCTGTTCCCAGAGAGATGGTGTGTATCAACAGAGAGGATTTTGAAAAGCATTGTAGTACATTTGAAGCAGTTTTGTGTTAACTTAGTGTTGTAAATGAAGTAGTGCAACTTAATAAGCTTTAAATGATTGCACCAGCAGCTGATGGGCATTCAGCTTCTTCTTTTTTTTTTTTATTGAAAATTTTTAAAAGTTTTACAAATATACAACCCCCCAAAAAATCAACCCTCACCCCATCCCTCCCAAGCCCACCCCTCCCTCCCCCCTCCCCGAACTTCCCAGAACTGAATATAGGCTTATCTAAAATTTTAAAATATCTAAACAAATTTTACGTCTTGTAATAATAAAATATATATAAACATTAATAAAAAAAATACTTAAAAAAGAAAAAAGAAAGAAAGGAAAGAGAGAGAGAAAGAGAAAGAAAAAAAAATAAAAAAGAAAAAACAAAAAACAAAAAAAGAAAAGAAAAAACAATCTATAAAAGTTATAAAAAAGCTAAATGATATTTTTCCATATCCAAATTATATTGTATAAAATTTATCCATTTTTCCCATACAACAAAAAATTTCTCTTGGGATTGCTCCTTTAAGAAAGCTGAAATCTTTGCCATTTCCGCCAAATAAGAAACTTTATAAAACCATTCTTGCAAAGTAGGCAAAGAATCCTTCTTCCAATATTGTCCAACTAACAGCCTAGCGGCTGTGATCAAATTTAGTATCAGTATAACTTCCTTAGCATCACAGTCAGTAATAATACCTAATAAAAATAATTGCGGAGTAAATTTTACCCTCCTTCTAAAAATTCTTTGAATATTCCACCATATCTTAATCCAAAAGGCTTTTATATTTTTACACGACCACCAAATATGAGTCTGCTTCTGTCTATGAAAATTATTCATATTTATCAAAATCCCACACATAAAGGCTTTACTTGCATCCCATACCATTGACATTGATGTTCCCTTGTTCATATTTAAAACAAAATATTCCTTTAAACATTCCTTTAATTCTTGGACATTTTTTTCTTGTTTAAATAAATTCTCATTCAACCTCCAGGATCTCCTCTCTTCTTTCTCAGCAACCAATTCCATCCAGACTGGACTATGATCTGTCTCAATTCCCAATCTTCTTTCAATTCAAAAAAGGCTTTAGGTAGTTTAGCCTGTTTAAAAAAAATAGAAGAACCTTTTTTGTCCTTTTGTGTATCTAAAACACCATTCCAGTCTCCCATTAATATCACAGACCTATAGTCTAACAGAGTTATTTTCTGATGTAACAACTTATAAAATTGTTCCTGTTGCTGGTTTGGTGCATATAATCCCACAATAAGTATTTTCTTGCCATATAAACCAAGTTCAACCATAACATATCTCCCTTGGGGATCTGATTCTACCAAACAAGCTGGTAACTTTTGCTTAACATAAATTACCACACCCCCTTTTTTCCCAGGGGCAGGAGATATAAAATGAGATCCCAAACGAAGATTAGCTAAGTATTTTTGATCTTTAAGTAAAATATGAGTTTCCTGCAAACAAATAATGTCATTGTTATGTTGCTTTAAATAATGAAAAATTTTCTTCCTCTTCTGGGGAACGTTTAAACCGTTAACATTCCAGGCCAGGAACTTTGCCATCTCCCTCAACCAGGAGCCTGGAGAAGATTCCCTCAAGATCTGCTACTGAAGAATGTGTTGCAGAACTTTTAGGTCTTGCTCCTCCCACCGGCATTGAAACAATCTGATGAGCAGATTCGTTAACTTCTTTCTTCTGTTGCTCCTTTTCCTTACGTTTATGTGCTGCATGGGTCATTCTCTGTTCTTTAACCTAGCCTTGGGTTGTTGCACCGGTGGTGTTACTTTAAATTGTTGTTGGACAGTTGCAGTAACAGGAGAAGAAATCACCTTAGAAACTATAGAAGCTGGTTGTCTCTTTGAAGCCATTTTAAACTATCTTTCTTTCTTCTTAAAAAAGGGAAAAAAAGGACTTAAATCCTTACAAGTAAAAAACCAAGAAAAATACAATAAAAGTAAAAACTCCCAAGGCAGTTTAAAAGAAGAAAAAAGACTTAAGAGAAAAAACAATATTAAGCATACAGTTCAATCAGTCCGTCTTTTCTTTCCAGAGATAGGAAAAAAAACCTTTCAAAACGCCATTTTACTTTCACTCTCACTTTCCGCCCAAAGAAAAGAAAGTGAAAAAAAAAAAGTCAGCTTATACTAAAAAGAAGAAATTTAAAGAAAATAAATCTCTAACTCTAAGTAAAATCCTTTAAACAGTTCTGTCCGCTTTAAAAGTCACTCACCAAGCAGCTTTGAGTGCGGAGATGGTAGCGGCATTTTGCTTTGCTTCCGAAGAAGCAAAGACAGCTGAGAGGCGGAGAAGGCAATGAACTCTGAGGGAGCACTCTTTCTACCCCCCTAAAAAAAAAATCCAGGGAAGGTTAAGAGGTTCTACCTCTATTCATGCAATCTCTACCCCTTCCCTTCGCCTGGGAAGGGGATTTCGAACCGCGAGCCAGCTGATGAACGCTGTGCTCCGCGGATCTGACACCGTCTCAGAAGGACGGCTACAAGGTAGCCGCCATCATCGCCGCTTTAACCACCGGAAGTCGGGCATTCAGCTTCTTGACAAGGAATAGATTCTGCCCTAAAGAGCTAGACTGCTGAGTTTCTTATTTGTCTCTTTAAAAACTGAGTCAGGAAGCTGCTGTGCTTATAACAGAAGCATCACCTTGATAGGACCAATGACATTTGAGACTAAAACAGATATACACTGTAATACTTATTCCACTTTTAACCCACTCTTGGCCTGTAGGTTTTATTTCCTCCAGTTCTGATTTTTCACAGTTCCTAGAGGAAATAGGCTAGCTCAGTGTTTTTTCAGCCTTGGCAACTTTAAGATGTGTGGACTTCAACTCCCAGAATTCTTCAGCCACCCCTGAGGGCTGAGAAATTCTGGGAATTGAAGTTTAAAGTTGCCCTGGTTGAAAAATACTGTAGTAGGCAATGACAAATAGTTCTAGAGCCATAGGCCCTTCCACGCTGAATAGGGCTCATTTAAGGACTTCCAGGTTTTAGGCTGACAGTATATGTACAATGAATTAGTAGCTATGTTTCAAATGTGAACAGGATTGTGGGGAGGTAGGAAGAGTGGATGTTGAGGGGAGTTTCAAGAAGCAAAATGGGTGTCTTAAGTCTTTGCTCACCTTTTGTTCCATAATCATGCAACTCCTGCTTCTCCCACTAATAGCCACACAGATAAAAAGGCCAAAATCTGTTGCCCTACTCTGATTGGGGCATCCTTTTGGAATCACCTTCCCACTGAAGTAGTAGAATAGTACTTATATATCTACTAGTACTTATATATCTACTTATATATCTACTAGTATATTTTATATATTTACTTATATATCTACTAGTACTTATATATCTACTATTGTATATAATAGTACTTATATATCTACTCTCTTTACATAATTTTGAATTCCTAGGTGGACAGGACCTGCGGCAAAACAAGTGTTAATTTTATTGTGTCCAGTCTCAACCTGCATTTTTCACATTGCTCAAATCATGCTAAAAATAAATGTGTATACTTTGAATTTATACTTCTGGGATATATTTTGATATAGAAACTATTAGGGATGGGAATGAAGAATTATACCTACTAGGGTAACAAAGGGTTAACAGTTTGCAGTTTAAAAATTAGAATCTGTCCACTGAGGAGTGACTAAATTGGTTTATGTCATCCATGTGGGATTGCTGTCTATAGTAAACTGTACGCTTAAATATGGGAAAAAAATGCTTTGAAGTTCTCAGTCCATTTGATAATTGCCAGCAGCCATTTATCTTTCTCTGGATGAAGTACAGGAGTTTGAGGGATGGTAAGGACCATTAAGATCCTTTTCTGTTCTCCAGCTGGTTCTATTCCTTGGTGATAAGGATGTAATTCAGAAGAACAAAACTGTTTGTCACATTTGCACAATGTCATAATGTAAATCAAGTAGACAAGAAACAATTGATCCGAAAAGTGGGAAACAGACTCACAGGTAAGCCTCGCTTAAGAAACCATTCATTCAGCGACTGAAGTTACAGTCCTCAAAGTTATGGCCATTGCAGCAGCTCTGCAATCATGTGATCATGATTTGGACACTTGGCAGCCTGCCCAGACATATGACCACAAGGGCACTTCAATTAACCCAGGGATGTCAAACTCGCCGCGTCATGTGATGTGTCGTGATGTATTGCGACTTTTTCCCCCTTGCCGGAGCTGGGGTGGGCGCAGCTTCCACGTGATGCATCCGGCCCGCGGGCGGGCAGTTTGACACCCCTGAACTCACCCCACCCACCTCTCTGGCCACCTGCACTCCATCCAGTTGACCTTCGCTGGCTTCCTGATCTGACTGCTGGCCAAGTACGCCTGCCTGGATCTTCATAAGGCAGCTGCTGGCTGCATGAGGCTTTCTTCCCCAGGTCTCTCTCTCTCTCTCTCTCTCTCTCTCTCTCTCTCTCTCTCTCTCTCTCTCTCTCTCACACACACACACACACACACACACACACGTCAGTATTCTCAGGAGACCTGGGGAAGATGGCCTCACGTGGCCAGCAGTTGCCTCGTGAAGGGGCAGAATGGGCACGTCTCATCAGCCAGGAAGCAGGAAAATGGTGAGGGTCATCTGGGATGGTGGTGGAGCGCAGGGTGGCAAGGGCCTTAAGAGTCCAGAGTGGTGAGGGCAGTTGAAAGTGAGGCTGGGCTGGGTCTTTCCACTGTGCTACTGTGCCAGACTGGGGCTTCCCAGGATAGCTGCAGTTTCCTACTGTGCTGTAGTACAGGTAGTCCTCGACTTAACAACAATTTGTTTAATGACCATAAAAAGTTACGACAGTACAGGTAGTCCTCGAATTACAACAGTTCATTTAGTGACTGTTCAAAGTTACGACGTCATTGAAAAAAGTGACGTGTTACCATTTTTCACATTTACGACCGTTGCAGCATCCCCATACTCATGTGATCAAAATTCGGACACTTGGCAACTGACTCATGAGAGTTGCAGTGTGTCCCGCGGGGTCGTGGGATCCCCTTTTGCGACCTTCTGACAAACAAAGTCAAGGGGGAAGCCGGATTCACTTAACGACCGGGTTACTAACTTAACCACCGCAGTGATTCACTTAACAACCATGGCATGAAAGGTTGTAAAATGGGGCAAAACTCACTTAACAAATATCTCACTTAGGAAGAGAAATTTTGGGCTTATTTGAGATCGTAAGTCGAGGACTACCTGAATTGAAAAAAATGACTTATGACCGTTCTTCACACTTAACTATTGCAACATCCCCATGGTCACATGCTCAAAATTTCAGTGCTTGGCAACTTGCATGTATTTATGACAATTGCACCATCCCAGGGTCATGTGATCACCATTTGTAACCTTCCCAGCTGACTTCTGGCAAGCAAAGTCATTGCAGGAAGCCATATTTGCTTAATGACCAAGTGATTCAGTTAGCAACTGCAGTGATTTACTTAACAACTGTGGCAAAAAGGTAATAAAATGGGATTCTACTTACTTATCAACTGCCTCGCTTATCAATGAGCCATTTTGGACATTTTGGGCTCAATTCTGTTTATAAGTCAAGGATTATACTAGGCCAGGCTGAGGCAGCTGAGGCTTCAAGGGGTGATGCTGGTTTTGCATTTCGCTGTAGCTCAGAGGTATGTTCCAGCTACAGGGCTGTGGTGTGTCAAGGATGCCCCTGAGCCCCTGCATGGCTCTAGGGCTGTTTGCCACCCTGCAAAACAGGGTGCAGGGTAACCAAAAGAGCAGAGATGGGGAAAAATAGGCAGTTGGGTCTGTTGGAGGGGAGGCAGCCCCTTCCCTGGGAAGACCTGAGGCTCGGGACTGGGAGGGACCAAGCCTGGAATGACTTGAATTGGGATAGGTTAGCAACTCAAGGAATTCAGATAATGATGGCAACAGAACGTGCCAGGATTGCTGTTGCTAAGCGATGCAGTCCTGTGACATCCGCATGGCTTAGCGATGGAAATTCTGGTCCCAGTTACGGTTGTAACTCAAGGACTCCCTGTATTTTGAAGCAGAGCTTCACCTGGTCCCTTCCTTTCTTTTCTAGGGGAGTGGCAGTGGGTCAGTGAGTCTCCCTCTTTGCACCCTCCCTGCCAAGGTGCTGTGAGCTTCTATTCTTATTATGGCCGCCACGCCAAATTCACAGAGACGCCCTGCGGGAGGAAGTTCCGGGACCTTCACAGGCATCACTTGAAGCTGCTAGAGTGGCAGGGTCAGCCTCACCCTCAGCTCTCCGTCCAAGATGAGCAGGCCAGGCACTACCACTTGGTGCTACCTTCCTTCTTCTGCCTCCTGGAGAGCTTGCATCGAGAAGGGAGGGAATTTGCCATCATCTTTCGTACCTTCGGCACAGATCTGCCTCGTGTCCTGCGGGCGGTGAGCTGCACCCTGGAGGGGCAGCATCCCAGCTTCCCTGCCCTGGGAGAAATCTCGGTGAGCGGGCACACAGAATTTCCCCTTTGCTTAACGTTGCTTGAGCGATGCTCGCTTTTTTAGCCAACTTGGCAGATGTTTTAGCTCTTTTAGTTGAGATGCTCTAGAAGAGAAAGTAACTATTACTTGTTCTAAGATAGTAGCATCTCCTTCTCTCCGATTCTCCCTTTTAGCTTTTTCTCAAAAAAGCTCCTTGGTTCAAGTTTGATTGATTTTTTTTAAGCAGAGAGTGGCATAAAAATAATTCAACCATTTCAATAGATGTACGATTGGGTTTTTTCTGCGAAGTAAGCTCCCGATAGAAGAGAGAAGTTCTTGTTGGGTTTCCTTTGTGTGAGATTGTGGATCTGAAACAATGCAAGGAGAAATCCTACCTTTCTTGTAGATAGATCCTTCCTTTTTTTCTGGGAGATGAACAGGAGAAATTAAATCCCACAGCATGGTGTCCAATGCTAGAGATGGGATGCTCTGAAATGGGAAGCCATGAGGGTCCTATATTAGGTTGATTATGTGCCTTCAGGTCACTATTGATGTATTATTTATTGCTGAGGGATCCTGTCCTGAAAGAAAATGTCTGCTGACTTCGTCGGATTTGTTTAGAAAGACAGCTTTTGATTCTTCTCCAAAAAGATTATGGTCTGTGAATTGCAGAGAATACCTCCCAAATAAAGGTCATGGTTTGTTAAAAATTCAAGATGCAAAGAAAAACTGCTAGGAACTTCCTTGGCTGGGGAATCATTTGTGTATAGCTTGTAAAGCTTCTTGTTGCTTTCTTTGAGGCTCTGATAGTTTGGTGATAGCCAGTTTGGTGATTAAGGCACCAGGCTAGAAAGCAGAAGATTTGAATTCAAGTCCTGTCTTAGCCTTGAAAGCCAGCTGGGTGACTTTGGGCCAGTACCTCTTTCTCAGCCCAACTTACCTCACAGGGTTGTTATCCTGAGGAAAACAGGAGGAGGAAGATGTGTGGAATATGTTCGTCACCTTGAGTTACTTGTAAAAATAAAGATGGGATCTAAATAAAGAAATAAAATAAAAATAAAACGAAACATGGTTGCCTTCCATGTAGTTCTTCTTTTCACTTGCAGAAAGTGCTCTGAATTTTATATGCCCATTTTTTTTAAAAAAAAATGCAGATAATATCTGTAATATTTTTCAAAGACCGCAGGGCACATAGATGATATAGGGGCGTTAAGGATGGAATGATCAATCCTTTTTAACTGTTGGGGTTTTTAATTGATGATGTGCCATTGAGTCAGTACTGACTCTTGGTAGCCAGATAGGTAGGCCTTTTCTAGGATGATCCGTCCCCAACCTGACCCTTCTGGTATTCCAACAGTGTAATCATTGCAATTGTTATCAAGTTGATTTTTTAAACTAAAATACGTTTTCACCTGCTATTTTGCTAAAGGCTTCAATCTTTTGCATTAACACTGGGACAGTACTATAAGGTTCAGAAATAAACAAAACAATGTCACCTGAAAATAAAACCAATTTTTGTTCAATGGAAATATATCCTTCTCTATAGATCTCTCTGTGATGTCTAATAGCACAAGCTAAGAGTTCCACGCAGATATTAAAAAGCAAGGGTGAAAGTAAGCTTGTCTAGTTTCTTTAAATAATGAAAAAATGGGAAAGAAACATGTCACTAATCTTCACTTTAGATATTGGCGATTCATATAATATCTTAGTCCATTTTATGAACTCCAAAACAAATTATTTTTACAGCAAGCTGTAATGTTTGTGTATTTTATTAAAGACTTTTTAGCGTCTAGTGATAAAATTACAAGTTGACCTTTATTTTTATTCAAATCTGTCAGAACTACGACTGCTCCAGTGTTGTCAGCTGCTTGCCCAGTTTTTATAAATCCTGCTTGGTCATTATTAATAAGAAACAACATCACTTGCTGTAATCTGTCTGCTAGCACTGCTGTTAAAAATCTTTGTATCAACGTCAGTTAATGAGATTGTATGATAATGAGCATGCTGAATATGCTCATTACCTGCTTTTGGCATAACTGTAATATAAGCCTGATTAAATGCCGGTGATAAAATTCCCTTATCAAATATCTCTTCGTATACAAACTTAGCCTATATCCACTTAAGAGAGGTGATCTTTTTTCTGTCCTTTCCGGACCCTGTTCTTAAATTCCCCTCTACTTTGATCATCTCAGCCTGTTTGAGGCAGTCTAGAATTGGTGCTTTGAATAATGTTTCTTCTATCTCACTCTTATTTTTACTGCAGTTGCCTGTAGATCCCAGACTTGGAAGGATACGTTGCAGCAAGAAAAAAATAGCACTAAGCCATGGAGCTGAACAGCTCTCCAGCGACAATGGGTGCAGGAAAATGTATGCCTATTTCAGCTCCAGGGAAGGCATCAGTGGTTTCCAGGACCACTTTGAATGGTGAGATGTGTGCTTTCTTGTTGGCCTACATTTATTTACAGTGATTGGCTTTTTAACAACAAATATAGGTAGTCCTCGCTTACTGGCTGCCTTCTTTAGCTCCTGTTTGAAGTTATGGCAGTGTAAAAAAAAAGTCATCTCCTGCTTCCCTGGGGCTGGGCTAATGACTCTTAAGAGTTTCTTTGTCTTGAGTTCCCTGGCTCCAACTTCCTAATGGTGTTATATCTGCATTTCTATGAGGCTAGCTCTTGCTTGAGGCAAAGAAATTTGGGGTCAGGTTTGGTTTCTGCTTTTTAAAAAATACTTAAAAAAAAATCCTTGAGGAAAAATATATTTTCCTTTTTAATATTTCCTTCTGGGGGGCTAACTTCCCTCAGTATCATATGAGCCTAGCTTAGTCACAATATATATTTCTATTTCTAGTATACCTACTTAGTAACAGCCCCTTTATGGATTACTGCCTTGTCGTGGCGAAGGGGCTTGCGTAACTCAATGAAGCTATAAGCTATGCCGTGCAGGGCCACCCAAGACGGACAGGTTATAGCAGAGAGTTCTGACAAAATGTGATCCACTGGAGAAGGAAATGGCAAACCACTCCAGTATCTTTGCCATGAAAACCCCATGGACAGTACTAAAAGGAAAAAAGATATGACGCTGGAAGATGAGCCCCTCAGGTCGGAAGGTGTCCAATATGCTACTGGGGAAGAGCAGAGGGCTAGTACTAGTAGCGCCAGAAAGAATGAAGCGACTGGGCCAAAGCCGAAAGGACGCTCAGCTGTGGATATATCTGGTGGTGAAAGGAAAGTCCGATGCTGTAAAGATTTTTTCTCCATAGGAACCTGGAATGTAAGATCCATGAATCAAGGCAAGCTAGACGTAGTCAAAAAAGAGATGACAAGACTGAACATCGACATCTTAGGAATCAGCGAACTAAAATGGACAGGAATGGGTGAATTTAACTCAGATGACCATCAGGTATACTACTGTGGGCAAGAATCCCTCAGAAGAAATGGAGTAGCCTTCATAGTCAAGAATGATCTCAATTCGAATCCAAGGCAAACCATTCAATATCACAGTAGTCCAAATCTATGCCCCAACCACTGGTGCTGAAGAGGATGAAATTGACCGGTTCTATGAAGCCCTACAGCACCTTATAGAATTAACACCAAAAAATGATGTCCTTATCATCATGGGGGATTGGAATGCTAAGGTAGGAAGCCAAAAGATAACCGGAATAACAGGCAAGTTTGGCCTTGGAGTACAAAATGAAGCAGGGCACAGGCTAATAGAATTTTGTCAAGAGAATACGATGGTCATAACAAACACTCTTTTCCAACAACCCAAGAGACGGCTCTACACATGGACATCACCAGACGGTCAACATAGAAATCAGATTGACTATGTGCTCTGCAGCCAAAGATGGAGAAGCTCTATACAGTCAGTAAAAACAAGACCAGGAGCTGACTGTGGCTCAGATCATGAGCTTCTCGTTGCAAAATTTAGGCTTAAATTGAAAAAAGTAGGGAAAAGCACTAGGCCACTCAGGTATGAACTAAATCATATTCCTGATGAATATACAGTAGAGGTGACAAATAGATTTAAGGAATTAGATCTGATAGACAGAGTGCCTGAAGAACTATGGATGGAAGTTCGCAACATTGTACAAGAGGTAGCAACTAAAACCATCCCAAAGAAAAAGAAATGCAAGAAAGCAAAATGGCTGTCTGAGGAAGCTTTGCAAATAGCTGAGGAAAGAAGGGAAGCGAAAGGCAAAGGAGAAAGAGAAAGATACACCCAATTGAATGCAGAATTCCAGAGAGTAGCTAGAAGAGATAAGAATGCCTTCTTAAATGAACAGTGCAAAGAAATAGAAGAAAACAACAGAATAGGGAGGACCAGAGATCTCTTCAAGAAAATTGGAGATATGAAGGGAACGTTTCATGCAAAGATGGGCATGATAAAGGACCAAAATGGCAGAGACCTAACAGAGGCAGAAGAGATTAAGAAGAGATGGCAAAACTACACAGAAGAACTATACAAGAATGAGCTTAACGTCCCAGATAACCACAATGAGATGGTCACTGACCTCGAACCAGACATCCTAGAATGTGAAGTGAAATGGGCCTTAGAAAATCTGAGCAACAACAAAGCTAGTGGAGGTGACAGTATTCCAGCTGAGCTATTCAAAATCTTAAAAGACGATGCAGTAAAAGTGCTACACTCAATTTGCCAGCAAATTTGGAAAACTCAACAGTGGCCACAGGATTGGAAAAGGTCAGTTTACATTCCAATTCCAAAGAAAGGCAATGCCAAAGAATGTTCAAACTATCGCACCATTGCACTCATTTCACATGCTAGTAAAGTTATGCTTAAAATCCTACAAGCTAGACTCCAGCAGTATGTGGATCGAGAACTACCAGAAGTACAGGCAGGATTTCGAAGAGGCAGAGGAACTAGAGATCAAATTGCCAACATACGCTGGATCATGGAGAAAGCTAGGGAGTTCCAGAAAAACATCTACTTCTGCTTCATTGACTATGCAAAAGCCTTTGATTGTGTGGATCACAACAAATTGTGGCAAGTTCTTAAAGAGATGGGAGTACCAGACCATCTCATTTGTCTCTTGAGAAACCTATATGCGGGTCAAGAAGCAACAGTGAGAACTGGACACGGAACCACTGATTGGTTCAAAATTGGAAAAGGAGTCCGGCAAGGCTGTATACTGTCGCCCTGCCTATTTAACTTATATGCAGAGCACATCATGAGAAAGGCAGGGCTAGATGAATCAAAAGTTGGAATTAAGATTGCCGGGAGAAATATCAACAACCTAAGATATGCAGATGATACCACTCTAATGGCAGAAAGTGAAGAGGAACTAAAGAGCCTCTTGATGCGGGTGAAGAAGGAGAGTGCAAAAGTTGGCTTGAAACTCAACATTAAGAAAACCAAAATCATGGCATCCGGCCCTCTCAATTCCTGGCAAATAGATGGGGAAGAAATGGAGGTAGTGACAGATTTTATTTTTCTGGGCTCCAAGATCACCTCAGATGGAGACTGCAGCCAAGAAATTAAAAGACGCTTGCTCCTGGGGAGGAAAGCTATGGCAAATCTAGACAGCATTCTAAAAAGCAGAGACATCACCCTGCCAACAAAAGTGCGCATAGTCCAGGCCATGATTTTCCCAGTTGCAATGTATGGCTGTGAAAGTTGGACCATAAGAAAGGCTGAGCGCAAAAGAATTGAGGCCTTTGAACTGTGGTGCTGGAGAAGACTCCTGCGAGTCCCTTGGACTGCAAGGCGTTCAAACCGGTCGGTCCTAGAAGAGATCAACCCCGACTGCTCTTTAGAAGGCCAGATCCTGAAGTTGAAACTCAAGTACTTTGGCCACCTAATGAGAAGGAAGGATTCACTGGAGAAGAGCCTAATGCTGGGAAAGATTGAGGGCAATAGAAGAAGGGGACGACAGAGAATGAGATGGCTGGATGGAGTCACTGAAGCAGTAGGTGTGAATTTAAATGGACTCCAGAAGATGGTAGAGGACAGGAAGACGTGGAGGAATGTTGTCCATGGGGTCGCGATGGGTCGGACACGACTTCGCAATTAACAACAACAACAACTTAGTAACAGAACACATTTCCATTTCTATGATCTTCAGCATAGCGTTTGTGAGCATCAGCTTACTTGCAGTTTCCTTTGTGTCTACCAAACCTCTTCTCATGCCTGACTTTTAAAATATTTGTCTAAATGAATGAATGAATAAATATATGGGAAAAATGGAGCCTTAGTTATAATCTAAATTGGAATAGGACTTCCCAGCCCAATAGAGATGTTTTATATATTCATAAAAAAGAATGATGTTGGATGCCCAGACCACACAAAATATTGAAAGCTGGGGGGTGCTAGCATCCCAGGGACTAGAAAAGGTGGTAGGAAGCATCTTTAATTGTTTGCCTTCTAATTCAGTGACTGCCCACACCCATCTTGGTACCCATGTTGTAAGAGTATTCAACATACTCTGAAATTTGGAAGGTATTTTAAAAGGTTTGAAGTGCTCAGGGAACAATGAGAGCAAGATTGAGAGAATTCTAGAAACTGAATCTTATGAGGAATATTTGCTTCTTCTGTATCAGGAGAAGGGGAAAAAAATCTTGTTCTGTTGGTGGATGTCTGAAGGTCTGTCCATATAAAATGTAAAATAGACTTATCTTCTGATACTTCAAAGGGCAGAAGCAATGGATAGAACTGATAGGGAAGCAGGTTTTAACCGGACATTTACGGGAATGTTCTAAGATGTATTCAGTAGGATGTACAGAAGGTCTTCAGAGATGCTGGACTATATTTGCTAAGAATATTTAAACAAAGGCTGGATATCGGGGATCTTACATCCCTTTGTAGATCTTGCTTTGAATAACTCCTGCCCTGAACAAGACTTCCTAGGTTCCTTTGGAAACAGCCTGAGGCTTCAGCAGATGCTGCTACAGCACTTTATTTATTTGCTTGCTTGTTTACAGGCACCATTCTCTTTTCTTGAGTACTCTTTATAAGGGCACAAACAACTCTGATTAGATGCACAGAGAAGCAAGGTTACACATATTTCACATATTTGGCTTCATCTCCTAAATGCAGAGCTGGTTTTTTTCAGGCATACAGTATCCGGATACTTTTGTTTGTTTTTGAAAAGCGAAATCTAGTTCCTTTACCCTTATTTTACACAGAAACGTGGGAATTTATCCACCTTGTTGCAAAAGGATTGAGAAACACAGGGACAGTTCCAGTGGCCAAAATTTAGACCATAGGTGCTCAGCGCAATATTTCTTTTTATCTATCTTTACTGGCTGTTCACTTCCTGTCCCATCAGCTTACCGGCCATTATTTTCCTTGTTTGTTGGTTGGTAAGTAAGATAAGATAACCTTTATTGTCATTTTTTTAAGTAATAAGTAAATGATATTCAAAATCCTCTGAAACCTTGAATCTTAGAAACAGAATAAATTGAAGAAAGGACCAGATACTTTAATTAAAAAGGGACCACCCGGTATGGCCCTGTGTGCATTAATTCCTCGCTTTCCCTCTTTTATTCCATTCCTACAAGGAGCAAAATGAATGCATGTCTCAGCTGATCACTACAGATTGTGTCTCTTTTTGTGCTGCAGGTGGGCTAAGAATAATTATTCCAGCCAAGGTGGAAAGCCCCTTTGGGTTGATCCTCAGGACGCCAGAGTCCAGCATATCTTTATAGATGACAATATCCGACTGACTGATTCCGACACCATTGTCCACCCTCAGGTATTGTTAGGGAGAAGCGTTGCGCCAATCCTGTTCCTCCTAGAAGATTCTTTTGTGGGTCATTCGCAGCTTTTAATTATAATTCCGCCGTCCCCTTTTGTCAATGCTGGCAAATAAGCTACGCTTTCAGGAGGTTTTGTGCACTCAGTGGAGACTCGCTATTGTGATTCCTCCACTTTATTCCACCCTTAAGCAGAAAAATCCGTCTCCTTGGCTACTTTTAGAGCAGTGGTTCTCAATCTTTTTAGACCGGCGACCCCGATGCGCGGCAGCGCCCCTGCGCGGCATGCATGCGCAACACTGCCCCCTGTGCGGTGCGCATGCGCGGTGGTGGTGCATGCGCGGTGCGCATGCGTGGCACAACCCCCTGTGCCACCCTCTGTGTGGTGCGCATGCGCGGCGGTGCCCCCTGCGTGGCACGCATGCGTGGCACCGCCCCCTGCACCACTGAGAAAAAAAATGGCGGATTGCGTTGTTTGGTGACCCCCGTGAAATGGTCGTTCGACCCCAAATGGGGTCGCGACCCACAGGTTGAGAACCGCTGTTTTAGAGCAACACTGCCTCACTGGCAAGGATTGCTTATTTCTCCTTCTAAACTGTCCCGAAGGTGGCAGAGATTGGTAAGTGAGCTGCCTGTCGTAATTGCAGGTGATTAGCGGAGAATGGTGGCTGGCGTGGAACAGCAGATGCTTGGTGCCTGTTCTTGCGGCGTGCTCCTTCTGTCCATGGTGTGAATCATTTCCATTTCCCCTCACATCCACATCCAGCAACCTGCTTTTTAGCAAAGCTCCTTTGCAATACTGAGTGCTTAAAGGGCAGCTTTCACGCCAGAGCCAGGAAGTTGGGAGAGCCAAAGAGAAAGGCCGTCGTAGCGGGTCTTTAAATTGGCCTAAAAGCTTTCGCTTAGGAAAGGGAGGCAGCTGGGAGAGAGTGTGTGCTGCCTGAAGTAGGGGATGGAGAAAAAGCTGGGCAGGCAAGGTTAATTGGTTCTTGTTGGATTCAAGCCACCACATTGGTTCTTTGAGCCTTGGTGCCACTCACAGCATAGGGAAAATTACAAGTGGAGGCTGGGATTTTTTCATTTCTCGACAATGGACCCTCAAGGTGGTCAGTAAATACAGGTAGTCCTCGACTTGCAACGGTTCATTTAGTGAGCGTTCGAAGTTACAACGGGACTGAAAAAAGTAACTTTTGACCATTTTCACAGTTAGGACCGCTGCAGCGTCCCCGTGGTTACATGATTTACATTTAGAGGCTTGACAACCAGTTCATATTTGTGACGGTTGCTGTGTCCTGGGGGGGTGTCACGTGATCCTCTTTCGCAACTTTCTGACAAGCAAAAGTCAATGGGGAAGCCAGATTCACTTAACAACCGTGTTGCTAATTTAACAACCGCAGCAATTCACTTAACGACTGTGGCAACAAAAGCCGCAAAACGGGGCACAACTCATTTTGCAAAAATCTCAAATTAGCAATATAAATTCTGGGCTCACTTGTACTCAGGTCTTGGTGGAGGAGGCAAAGAGCCCTGCCTGGAACATTTTACCCTGCCTCAGCCTACAGAATGGTCTTTGAAGAAGGGGAGATGAAGAGAGAAGGGGATGCTGTCAGTGGTAGGATTCAAATATGTGAACAGCCGGTTCTCTGTGTGGATGCCGCTTCCGGAAGTCCATTCTGGGCCTGAGCAACAAAAAATTGGCTGAATCCCACCACAGGATGTTGTTCATTTTCTTCCCCAGCCAATCAGTTTCAGGTCATATTATATTTAGAAAGCAAGGGGGCAGAGAGGACTCCTGGGATTCCATGCCCTCCTTTCTCCTCCTGCTGGTTTCAGGTCAGATCTTGCAGTTTCAGAAGCCAGGAAAATTTTGCTGGGTCCGAGCCAGCCTTGATCCCTTTGAAAAGACCTTGCTTTTCCCCTTGAGTCCCAAGCTCAGCTCTTCCCTCTTAGTGGGTAGATCTGAGCGTGCTCCAAAGTGATCTTCTCTAGCTGTAATTCAGCCTGTGTGTGAGTTTCAAAGCTGGCTTGAGAGCCTGTTGTTTGTACAGTAGGTTCAGAGCAGGGCGGGAGATGTTATATGTTTTGGTGCTTTGCAATGGGATTTTCTAATTAGACGCAGGGGTAGGCAACCTTGGCTCTTTTCTGTCTCGTGGACTTCAACTCCCAGAATTCCTGAGCCAGCATGGCTCAGCTTGGAAACCTCTCCCTTTCCCCTCAGCATGGCTGGCTCAGGAATTCTGGGAGTTGAAGTCCACGAGTCATAAAAGAGCCAAGGTTGCCTACCCCTGAACTAGAGTAAGTGGTGGAGAAGAGGATATCTCAAGGTTTCCAAATCTTCTATTGCCAGGCCTTGCAGTATCAGTCCTACACAATCCCTGTCTAGAATTCACCTGGGCTCATAACATTTCAACCATTCACGCTGTCTACTGGAATCCTTCCCTTTCTATCGCCATCCACACTTAAAGGAACGGCGTTTGGGAACTCCATTCCCTTGCCAGCCCTTGCTGTTTGAGAATAGTTAGATACTCATCCGTGCAAGTCCTCCTTTTTGCAACCCCCAAGAATTGAGAATTGGAGTATAATTGTTCACGCTTCTTATACACATGAAAGAGTGACCCCCACCATGAAAACCAAGCTGAAAAATGTCAGTCCTATCTTCTTTGTGATGCCCCCACCACATTCCTCATGACCCTTTGAGCATAATACAGGTAATCTTCAACTTACAACCGTTTGCTTAATGACAGATCCAAGTTACAGCAGCACTCAAAAGGGTGACTTACAACCAGTCCTCACGCTTACGACTATTGTTGCATCGTCATGGTCACGTAATAAAAAATCAGGCACTTGGCCGCTGGCATGTATTTATGTTCATGGCATTGCCATTTGTGACTTTCCCAGCCATCTTCTGGCAAGCAAAGTCCAATATCTCAGGGGCTACCACAAAGAAGAGGAAGTCAAGCTATCCTCCAAAGCGCCTGAAGGCAGGACAAGAAGCAATGAATGGAAACTGACCAAAGGGAGAAGCAACCTAGAACTAAGGAGAAACTTCCTGATGGTTAAAACAATTAATTAGTGGAACAACCTGCCTCCAGAAGCAGTGAATGCTCCAACACTGGAAGTTTTTAAGAAGAGACTGGACAGCCATTTGTCCGAAATGGTATAAAGGGCCGTGGTGGCGAACCTATGGCACGCGTGCCACAGGTGGCATGCAGAGCCCTCTCTGTGGGCACACGTGCCATTGCCCCAGTCCTAGGCCTTCAGTTGGGTTTTATAAAACCTTTTCGCTTTAGGCCTCTACCGCCATGTACAAAAAAAAAAAGAAGTTCAAGCAATCAATTTCAACTTCTCGCGGAAAAAAAAAGATCTCGCAAAGTTGGAATTGATTGATTGAACTTTTTAGTCCCACCCGGTCTGCTGTTACCACGGCAGCCACACCCATGCAATGGGCCACGCCCACCCAATGGGCCACGCCCACCCGGCACCCAACGATACATAAGTGGGTTTTGGGTTGCAGTTTGGGCACTCGGTCTCTAAAAGGTTCGCCATTGCTGGTATACGGTTTCCTGCCTGAGCAGGGGGTTGGATTAGATGACCTCCAAGGTCCTTTCCAACTTCATTATTATCATCCTTATCCTCATTATTATTATTATTATTATGAGTATGATTATATCAATGGGGAAAGCCAGCTTTGTTTAACAACTAGATGATTCATTGAACGATGGCAGTGATTTGCTTAACAACCATGGGTTTAAAAAAAAGGTCATAAAATTGGGTATGACTTAGTTAACCACCACCTTACTTAGCCACAGAAATTGTCGCAAGACAAGGACTACTTTTAATAAGAACAACAATGATGTTGCCTGCTTCTGTAGCTTGAGTGGTTAGTCGCTGTGGCTAGCGGCTGAGGAGGAGGTTGTGGGGTACGAGCCCTCTGAAAAGCAAATGCTCCAAACTTAGGAGGGTTTGGGCTGACAAGTTCTCCAGAGGAAAGCCTCCTAAGAGGGTTTAAGATTTAGTATCTCTTTAGAGAAATCAAACAGTCCTGAAAAAGGGGATGGCGGATTTCCTTTTTTGCTTTGTCCCTCTGCTTTGTGAGTTAAAGGATTCTGACCTTCTTATCTTGGCCCAACAGGTATTCTTAGGGCAAGGAAGTGATTCTCCCCAGACAGTTCCTACTTCGGAGCACTATGACATCTGCCTAGTACAGACAGACCTTCTGGAGGCCATTGCCGATGTGAACTATTTCTGCCACTGCATAAAACGCTGTGAAGAGAATTATGAGAGCTACTTGTCCAGAGTTGGGGCCTGCATCTAACAGGGTTGGCTGAGCGGTCCCAAAGCCCTTTGTGGTACTGCAAGGGGAGCAAAGAACCCAAATCTCCCAGTTGGCCGCTGCTTGTCTACCTCCCAACGAAGTCAGTATTCTTGTTTTAACTTCCTGGTGAGGGCTCCATGCTGGAAGCTCCTTGAAAAGAGAGCTGGGCCTCCAAGCAAAGAAACATGCTGCCTGTTTTCTCTGTTGCTGCCTGGATCAGAGCATCTAAATAGAGGTGGCTGTGTTTTATTTATAATATTTATTCAGCGCTTAATGAGGGGGGGGGGATTTTCTTGCCCTACGGATGAGTGAAGCAGGTAACCACACTCACACACTGCACTCAAAACTGTTCCGTAACCCAGCCTTTCTCTGCAAACATTAAAATCATCTCTAACTGTTGCTGCTGATGGTTTGGCTACGATGACCTCTGACCCTGAAACATAATGCCTGTGCTAAGCAAGCTCTTGAGAGATATGCTTCAAGGGCAGCCAAACAAGGAGTTCAACAAGCCATAGATGGATTGTGGTTTTACTAGTTTTCTATCCCTTCACTTGCAAAATTCTTTTATGTCTCTGCTGGATTCCCAGTGTTTGATCTGAGTTTTGCTCTCTGCCAGCATTGATCTGCAGACAGAAAAAAACCAGCTTTTTTGAAAGAAATAAGAGACTAATTTTACCGGCTAGAGAAAGGTGACCCAGTCTTTTCTTGACAACCAGCCCCTTCCTGCTCTCTAGTTAAGAAAGCTTTTTTTAAAAAAGCCACCCCCTCCCTTTTCTTGATTCTTTTGCCAATTCACTGTGTATGAGGTCTTTGAGAATATTTATAGCTCATGGTTGAACTGTTCTCTGAGCTCGGTTGTTTTCTTGCAGACATTTCACTACCAAACTAAAGCAACATCATCAGTGCACTGATGACGTTGCCTAGTTTGGTAATGAAATGTCTGCAAGAAAACAGCCAAGCAAGGAGAGCACCAAGAACCCCACAGTTCAACCCTGAACTATAAATATTCTTTTCTATCAATTCATTGTGTTGTTAGCTGGAGAATACTTTGCTCACAGCTTCCTTCTTCCCAAAACAGGAGAGCAATATTTGGTTTGTTGCTTTGAATATGAGCCCAGAATTTTAGGTATTGCTCGAAAGAATAGCTTTAACCTCCCCAGCAGTGGGAGTTAGGAATCATTTGCCTGGAGCTCAGCAAAAAGCAAACTGTTTTTCACAAATCTGTTCTTGTCTTTTCCTGGGCTTTTAGGTAGCTTTTTGTTCTTGCAGAGACCTGGTCTCATGTAGCAGAAAGTAGTATGACTCTTTCAGGAGGTTAAATACATATAAGGGAAGATAGTTTTAAGCACCAGCTGTTACTCATTTTAGCAAAGTAGTTTCTTGTGCTCACAACTGTATATTTCTGAATACCAGATAATGGAGTAAAAGTACAGCATAAGGAGCTTTTGCTTTCCTGTTTCAGCTATGTATTTCTCAAAAGCATTTGTTTAGCCATAGCTGGATGCAGAATTAAAAAGATTCTTGGTTTGATACGTGAGGCTGAGGGGGGATGTAAGAGGCTGTTTGTTGCAGGTCTCCAGAGAGCTATTCAGTACATTTCTGTACAGTTTTTTTTTTCCTGTTCGTATCAAGTCCGTGGAGAGCACAGGCAAGAAATTGAGAACAAGACAAAGGCAGGTGACTTTTAAATTTAGAGAACTTAACTACTGTACATGACAGTCTTCAGATATGCAAATGGGGAAACACGGGGGGTGGTGGTGGTGGTGGTTGGTGCAGAGGATTGGCTACGAATTCCCTGCTCATCCAGTTGGAAAATAAAGCTTGGGTAGATTTTTGCAGAGTTCATTACTGAATGCCTCAGCACATTTTCACATCTTTGCTGCAACATATCTGCTGTGTCATTTGTACGCTGCTTCAGTGCCCATATGGCAAATCTCAGGTAAGTGCCAGGCTAGTTGGCAATGCCATCCTGTGACCAGTGACAAATGTTGAAGATTAGGAGCACTTCTCCTTTGGCCCTCCATAGCCCAGGTGTGATTAAATATATTTTAATCATCACTTCCTAGCATTTTAAGCCCTGATGATGCCGGCAAAAGCTGGCGAAAGCTTGGAGTTTTTTAATTAAACTTTTTATAGTTTTAACTTCCCTGGTGCTCACTTTTATTTCATACACATACATACATACATACATACATACATACATATTGGTAATAACATTAAAAATGTGAACCCTGGGTATATCCATATTTGAAATAAAAGTGAGCACCAGGAAAGTTAAAACTATAAAAAGTTTAATTAAAAAACGGCAAGCTTTCGCCGGTTGCTGCTGGCATCATCAGGGCTTAAAATGCTAGGAAGTGAGGAAGTCCTTTTATAGGTCAATTAAGATCTGCGCCCGGCTCCTCGATCTTGTTACCAGACCTAATTGAGTAAATTGTGCTCCGGTGATCTTTTTCTTCTTGCGCGACTTATCCATGTATACGGTATCACCTATCTTCCCTTCGTTGGGTTCTGGGTTGGGTAGAGTACCCTCCCTGTCCCCTTGGTATTCCCATCATCTTTTTCTTTTTCTCCCCCAAACTTTCTAGATGGTCTGTATTCTCTCCTTCTCTTTCCCCCCCAATCCACATCCATATAGCTGTCGTTTCTATGGGTGCCATTTCTTTCTCTGATGTCCCCCACTCGTCTATTGTTGTTACTAAGATAATCCTGTGCATCGTTCTGATCTATCTGGGTCATTATTGTGAGGTGGGGTGACTCGGCAATCAGTTCGCCAATGTTATGAGTTCCACGAGTACATTCCTGTTTGATCGTCACTTCTCTCCCCACTCCCTTCCTACCGTCTTCTGCATCTTTGCTCCACATACTACCATCCGGACTCCGCACTCTACCATCTGGACGGGGAGAGGGGGGACTCCGGTCTCTCCGGACACCATCACACTCATCCTCAACCCTCCTTGCCCCTCCAACATCTCCCGTTCGTGTACGATCACAATGCGGTGCGCTTGAGTCCATTAGAGCTGATATTATAGGATGCAGCGGGCCGGTCGTCGGGCCACTGCAAATACGATCCCCCCATGCATCATCCTGCCGGAGTTCATTCTTCTCCTCCTCCCCCGGATTCCCCATCTGTGCGTTGCTGCTCTCAAAGCTGTTCCACACCCTGCATAATTCCAGTTGGATCGGCGTCACTGGGTGGGGGGGGGCCCGTCTCGTCATCTCTGGGCCGATCATTTTCCCTCTCCTAGGTTGCAGGTGGGTGGTCGCTATTCCGAGCTGTCTCCTTGTTTCTACATCTGCAGTACTACTCTGTGTTCTAGTTGGGGTGTCCAGTAGTACTGCTAGAGCAAAGAAGGAAGAAAGAAACTATCTCTTCCGGATATGCAAGCGCAATGGGTACCCGGTAAGATTCATTAAACGTTACAGTATTCCATCCGAGTCCCGGAGTAACCCATTAACTGATGAATCAATATCACAGATGACACGTGTTACCCTCCCCTATATCTGCAATGTCTCAGAGGCAACAGCAAGATTACTAGCGCCATATAATGTAAAAGTAGCGCATAAACCTAATCAAATGCTATGCACTGCCATTATGCGCCCAAAGGACCCGCTCCCCAGCATGGAGAGATCGGCAGTCGTATACAGGATTGACTGTATGGACTACCCATGCAACTATGTTGGGGAGACTTCTAAACGTGTAAAGACCAGGGTCCACGAACATAAACCTGCAGTAAAAAGGGGCGAGCAGCGCTCCCAAGTATGGGTACATATGGCGGAATCTGGCCATCGTTTCAACTTCAATGAAGTGCGCGTCTTAGCCAGTGACAACACAAAGGGAGGCCGCTTACTTAAAGAAGCATGGCTCTCCAACAGAGACTCGATTAACCGGCATATTGACCTCTGCCCAACACACCTGGCGTTAAGATCACGGAGTGTGGACAATCGCCCACCCTGCTGCGGACAATCTGATGGCATATCTAATATACCAACAAGGGAGATCAAGGAGGAGGTGTTAACCCCCTAACACGATATAAACAACTCAATAGAGAAGGAACAATATCTAAAGACCCCCGTCGCCCCTGTGGCACGTACGCGCCTCCAAAAGATCAGGGAGGCGGCAAAAATTAAAGCCCAGAAATTTTACATTGGGAATACCCGAGACACTCCAACTAGAACACAGAAGTACTGCAGATGTAGAAACAAGGAGACAGCTCAGAATAGCGACCACCCACCTGCAACCTAGGAGAGGGAAAATGATCGGCCCAGAGATGACGAGACGCCCCCCCAGCCGGTGACGCCGATCCAACTGGAATTATGTGGGGTGTGGAACAGCTTTGAGAGCAGCGACGCACAGATGGGGAATCCGGGGGAGGAGGAGAAGAATGAACTCCGGCAGGATGATGCATGGGGGGATCGTATTTGCAGTGGCCTGACGACCGGCCCGCTGCATCCTATAATATAAGCTCTAATGGACTCAAGCGCACCGCATTGTGATTGTACACGAACGGGAGGTGTTGGAGGGGCGAGGAGGGTGGAGGATGAGTGTGATGGTGTCCGGAGAGACTGGAGTCCCCCCTCTCCCCGTCCAGATGGTAGATTGCGGAGTCCGGATGGTAGTATGTGGAGCAAAAATGCAGAAGACGGTAGGAAGGGAATGGGGAGAGAAGTGACAATCAAACAGGAGTGTACTCGTGGAACTCATAACATTGGCGAACTGATTGCCGAGTCACCCCACCTCACAATAATGACCCAGATAGATCAGAACGATGCACAGGATTATCTTAGTAACAACAATAGACGAGTGGGAGACATCAGAGAAAGAAATGGCACCCATAGAAACGACAGCTATATGGATGTGGATGGGGGGGAAAGAGAAGGAGAGAATACAGACCATCTAGAAAGTTTGGGGGAGAAAAAGAAAAGGATGATGGGAATACCCAAGGGGACAGGGAGGGTACTCTACCCAACCCAGAACCCAACGAAGGGAAGATAGGTGATACCGTATACATGGATAAGTCGCGCAAGAAGAAAAAGATCACCGGAGCACAATTTACTCAATTAGATCTGGTAACAAGATTGAGGAGCCGGGCGCAGATCTTAATTGACCTATAAAAGGACTTCCTCACTTCCTAGCATTTTAAGCCCTGATGATGCCAACAGCAGCCGGCGAAAGCTTGCCGTTCTTTAATTAAACTTTTTATAGTTTTAACTTCCCTGGTGCTCACTTTTATTTCATATATATATACACATACACATACACCTGGTTATATTTATAAAATTGATCAGCCTGCCATCAAAGAGTTACAAAATAAAGTGGAATTAGGCGAACGTTCTTAACAGCTTCACCCAAACCTATCTTTTTGGAGGCTGGAGTTTGCCTTGATTTATATAATCTTCTGACCAGGCCCCTTTGACCCAGGCCTCAGATGCGCTAGGGGACTGTGACCATCTGTCTTGAAATATCCTGAAAGAGACCGAGCTTGTTGAAGATTAATTTGTGATGCTTAGTAACCGATCAGCCGGAACATTTTATTTCACTCTTCCTTCTCATTTCCTTGACAGTCGGCCTCAAGCACTCCACTTTTAGCATCTGTGTGGCAGGATTCATTGGTTGGGTTTTCATTCATAACTGATTTAGTATATATTTTGAAACGCCCAAGATCTCACCAAAAATAAAGCTCACTCTAGCCTGCCAAGGCATCACAGGAGAAAAGCTATGTTAGTCTTTGGTGACATCTGAGGAAGTGAGCCAGAGCTGATGAAAACTTCAACTTTTTAATAAAATGGATTGGTCGGAAAGGCTGCTTCCAATTCCTCAGGATTTCAAGCCAGTTTGGGATCACTCCCAAGGGGGAGGGTAGCAAAAGGCTCTCAGCTGGGAGTGGTTTTTAAAAGCAGAGCATTCAGATTGTGAAGTGAAGGCCTGAGGTAAGGGCTTTCTTTCCTTTGCAAAACAGGATTCCCCCCCACTCTGGGGACCCTCCCCATGAGAACCCTTAAATTACTGTTCCCACCCCTTCTCCCCCTGTCCCCCTTTGCTTCCTGAGAAGTGAATGACAGCAGCTCTCCCTGAAGTCCCTCCTCTTCAATTACAGATTCAGTTGCCATCGAGACTGAGGGATTTAGTCAACGGGCGCCTCCCATTTTGCACCTGCTATAGAAATCAGGCCTGCCCAGGCCTCCTTCTCCAGCTCTTGAGCTTGATGAGATTGCAGGCTTTGCAGTGCTGCTCCTGTTCCTAAACATGCAGTCCCTCCCCCTCCAGGGCCTGACAGGAAGGCCAAAATTTAATGTTGCTGACAAGTAATCGGGAATAAGTCCCCGCTCCTGAATCCCCTGTGGTGGGATCCTCAGATTCCATGAATGTGAACTCTTTCACTGCCTTGAATCTCTTTCAGCCACTATTTTACATTTGCAGAAAGTATAGTAAGAATTGGCTTCCCCAGCCTGATTTTTCCTTTTAAAGGCAGTTTTGTTTTTAAATGCTGGGGGGGGGAGGGGGGAGAGGAAGGAATTTTGGAGGAAAGAAGAAGAAAGACAGTGGTGAGCTAATCACTTTTCCAAAATGGCAAGGAGGTCTGCCTGGATTGTAAATACCAGAAGCAGAGCTCGTAATGCTGTTGAATTTTTTTTTAAAAAGCGTTTATTCCAGATAAAGTCAGCCATCCACATTTTATTGGTACCAAAATGGGCTGCTCTAGAGCCTATTTTTTTAATTACTTTTCAGTCACAAGCAATGCACATATTAAAAGGACTAGAAGATTATGATCACGGTGGAAGGGATAAATTAAGGATTAAGTATAGAACGTTTTCAACATTGTAATTGGAAGTTTTTTTCTTCCAGAAACCTGCAGGGGGGCTGATTTTTTTTATTGCATATTATTTGAGCAGGTGCTTCAACTTTGCATACTCTCCGACTAAACCACATCTTAGCTTTATTTGGACACTGTTGAAAGAGTATTATTTTTGTTCACTGTTGGTGTTATGTTTGTAAACTCCCGTTGTGCTTCATGCTTCTGTTCAAAAATTAAGCCAAGGAAAGAGCCTAGAAATAAAGTATTTTGTAGATGTGGGTGTTGTGTTTTGTATGTTCTCTTTTGTAGCCAAGCTTCAGATTTTCTTCACCTGATGCAGCTAATAGAGAATACCTCCTATTTGGACAAATGGTGCTTAGAATGGCTTCATTAGCGAAAACTAAGGTACGGTGATCAGTGATAGCTTTGAATTCATTGTGCATCTTCAATGTGATTTAGTTCCCGGGCTGTTGCTCATCTCTGTCAACAGGTCAAATTGTGACAGATGGAGCCAGTCTGCCATTGGGGAGCTGCAAAGTTAGAAAGTAATGGGATTTTTAATATTTGATCATTTGTCTTCCTATGTGGAGATGATGGCCTAGGCAGGATCAGGACAGACAAAAACATATGTTTAGTCACAGATTGTCCCAACTAACTATATATGGCACATTGACATGTATAAAGAGGCAGAATATTAGGAAGAATGGGAATTTTTGGGATGTCATTGGAGAGGTCAGTGGGCTAAGCTGTCATCCTTACCTAGCCATCATAATTGGTCCTAAGATAGTTGGCTGGCTGAGAGGAAAGACAGGATGGGCCCCTCCCCTATTCCAAATATACAGAACTTGACTGAAGTGCTGGCTGATTTTTTGATAGCATGCCAGAATACTCTACCACTCCTAAGGAGCTTCCTACTCCATATGAGACTGGTTCTCAAGAAAAAAAATGAAAAAGCTAAATTACAGGTCCACCACTACCCTGCATTTGCTGCTGAAGATCTTTGGCCACGTCTAAAATTAAAATATAAAATAAAATTAATATAAACTACAGATCTCCACCTGAATCACAATAATTGTACTAATGAGATATAAAAAATATGTTGGATCTTCCAGTTCTAGTGTCAGCTAATCATTTTATTTAGGTCATTCAAAGAGTGTAAAAGTTTTCAGTAGCTCTGCTTAGGTTTGTTTTTGTAGTTTACTGATTGACTTTAATAAGTCATTATCTGCTTCTATTTTTTGCATTTGGTTTATTTTTTTGTAATCTTAGTATAAAATACAATAACTTGGGGGAAAATAAGGAGGGAGATAAATTGTAACGCCTCAGAATTGAACACATGTAGCTAAGAGGTTTGCAGCTTAAAATCAGGTTAGAAGCATCTGGCAGAGTGAATGAATTACTCATAGCTGAGTATTATGGCTATAAAATTATATCTAGCATTATGAGCAAAAGACAAATGATTAACCCTCAACAATTCTGGAAGCAAACAAAATAAGCTGCTGTATATCAGACCTGCCTCTTAGAGCTTTCTGTAGAATGTAGATTCCTTCTGTGTGAATACAAATACAGATACATGCACATATACACATATGGAGACAAATTTTAGATAGTGCCCAGGTAGAGAATCGTTTGATGTGAGGTAAAATTATGTAGTGCTGTGTGCACAACATAATTCACATTTTGTGAGTGGGAAACTATACAGACATGATGATAATAGTATTCACTCGCGTCCAACTCTTGGCAGTTCTCTAGGTCAGGTTTCCCCACATCTTCCAATCCTGCACTACTTGAGTTTTTCTATGCACTGGGTGGTGTGAGCTTTGATGGTGTCCAGCCATCGTGTTCTTTGCTGGTTTTCTTTCACTGATTAACTCTTCCCAATATAACTATTGGTACCTTCCCCAGTGATACAGATATAGCTTCAATCAATTTCATTCCTGGCCTTCTCTGGATATACAGGGTTATTGTGGACACAATCCTGAGGCAACAGGTGCTGCATTTGTATCCCTAACATAAAGGTCCCCAAAGTTTTGGGAACCAGGGACCGGTTACGTGGAGAGAGGTTTTTCTGTGGAGTGGAGGGTGCATGGTTTTGTGTGCTGCCTGCATCTCATGGATGGGGCTTTGCTTGTTTCGGCAGCTCGGTTGCTGGCATGCCACAGCCCAGTACTAGTCCACGGACCAGGGGTTGGGGACCCTTGCTCTAACAGGAGGAGATGATCAAGACTGTAGACCAGTGGTTCTCAAACCTTTCTAATGCCGTGACCCCATAATACAGTTCCCCATGTTGTGGTGACCCCCCAAGTGGGTGTGGCCACCAATAAGAGGGAGTAGGACAGCCAGGGAAAAGGGAAAAAAATGGCGGACAGCGTGGTTTGGCGACCCCCATGAAATGGTCGTTTGACCCCAAATGGGGTCCCAACCCACAGGTTGAGAACCACTGCTGTAGACTAAGCTATCCAGAGAATCTGAGATTGGGAAAGCTGGCCCAAGTAAAACATTGACTGCTGTTTGCTAAATATGAAAGATTTAAAATTCTGTGAAATGCTCTCTTTGGGGAAATTGGCATAAAATTGAGGAACAGTCTCAAAGGCCAAGCCAAGCCAAAAAGCCAGACCAAACACATCAGGCAGGCAAATACATTGACAAAGTAGTTTGACTTTATATTAAAATACTTGAAATAAAATTTTTAATTATCCTGATACCTATCTGCTCAGCCATGATTAACCAATAAATAAACCCTTCATGCATGGCTGGCTTGGCGTTACTAAGTCATAAATCATGGTTTAGAAATCGTAACTGCCCAGGTTCAGATAACAAGCTAAGGCAAACGAGACGTGCCACGGTGTGCCTTAGCGTCCTGGGTGAAATCAAGTCTAACCAACACCACAGTTGAGCTAACCCACCTGTATTGACTGACACCTTAGCATTGGGAGTTAAGGTTGCTTATTGGGACTCAGTATTCCTCCCCTCCCCCCCCCGTTAAAAACAGCAATGGCTTAAGTTGCCCCATGAATGAAATATTCAAGCCTCGATTAAGCCCAAACTTTCCGGAGAGCGACCTTTAGAGCACATCCGCAGCGGGCCTTTCGGTTTGTGAAAAAGGGGCAGATGCCCGCCCTTTTCCGGGCCTCCGACTTTGCAAAGCGGCCGCTGTCCCAAGCGCGCTGCAATTGGAGGAGGAAGAGTTAAGCCGCCGATTTGTGTGTGTGTGTGTGAGCGTGTGTTTGTGCGGTTTTTATTCCTCCCCTGCCGCCCCGCGATTCCGAGAGACTCGCCGAGAGCGGCGGAGAAAGCGGATCGCAACCGCAAAGCCAGAAGCTCCCGAGCAGAGCGGAGCGGGGCGGAGCGGAGCGCCACCCGCCGCACCAAGACTTTGCCCGGGTTCGGAAGGACCGCGCAGTCCGGAGAGGTGAGCTCCCCGCCGTGGGGAGGGATCGGGCGCTGCTCCGAAGGCTACTGGAGAACTCGGGTTCCCGCACTCTCCCGTCCCTCCAGCGGAGCTGCGGAGCCCTCGGGGCTGGGGGCCGCTGCACGGTGCCAAAGTTTCTCCCGATGGGAAGGAGGGAGGAGCGGGCGAGGCCGCGGGGAACCGGAGGAGAGGTTGAGGCTTCCACCCGCGCTGGGTCCTGGGGCGATCCCAGCCGGGTCGGGGTGCAGCTCTCCACGGGTGGCCAGGGGGGCGTTGCGCAGCGGACTCCGCGCCTGCCTCTGCGGCCATCTGGAGCGGGAGCTCTCGGTTGCAGTGGCTGCCAAAGAGAAAGAAAGAAATGCTCCCCCGGCCCTTGTAAGGTGATGCTTTCCCAACTCTTCTTTTGCTGGAAATTGTAAATATCCGATCAGTCTCAGGGAGGATCCGGGAATCGGTGCCTCGTGCCCTGGCCCTTCCTGTTTTGCTTTATTTCCCTTTCTTTCGTGGGCTATTCAGTTTTCTACGGTATGTATTCGCAAATAAGCGTTTCGGATTTGAGCCGGGGTTCATCCTCATAACTTGCTTGCAGTATTTGGCAAAGAGTAACTCTAAGCTTGTGCTGAGTGTTTTTCTACTTCCTGTCCCGTTTCCCACCTTCCTAACAGTGCCGGTAGTACAATGTATTTTTAACACAAAGTAATTCCTATTACTCAAGAAACATAATACGGAGAGAAAAAGGCTGGATAGTAAAAGGTTAATAATTTTTGCAAGGCAAAGTCAACTGCCTTTTCTGTAGAAGCCAGGGAAAAACTTCCTGGCTTTCTTCATCCAATCCAACCCAACCCTATTATTCTATGTTCTTTCTCCCCCATGTTTTTGCCCTTTTCTCTAAGCAAAACAGTTGCTGCCCTATATTTCCTTTGTGGGACCTCAACCATCAAGAGTGAGATTCTTTTCTTTCTCCGTTTTCATTATTATTGTTACATAACTGTTGCTTCCATATCACCACTTCTATCCCATTTTGGATCTGGATCTCTGTTCCAAATAGTTGTGAAGACCACAACGCTCTTCGTCAACGCAGTCACGATAGAGAGCATTTTTGGCAGTACCACACATTGCTATCAAAGGAGGAAAAAGATGGATCCAGTAAGACCCAAGAAGCTGTGAGATTCCCAAACAATTTCCAGTCAAATTTATCTTTGGAACTCAATCATCAGAATTAATTAGCCATTGATGGTCTTTTTCTACTTAACCTATGTGAAAAGTATTTTTCCCCCTAAATGTCCCTTTCTAAAAAAAAAACAACAACAAGCAAACACTGCACCCAGAGTCTTTCACTTAGAAAAAGACTAATCATTTTGCTACCCACATGGTCTGTATATCACAACCTTCTTTAACTTTTTATTGCCCCTAAATCAGTGGTTCTCAACCTTTCTAATGCCGCGACCCCATAATACAGTTCCCCATGTTGTGGTGACCCCCAACCACTTATACATCACCGGGTGCCAGGGGCGTGGCCAAAGAAAAGGGGGAAAAAATGGCGGACAGCCTTGTTTGGCGACCCCCATGAAATGGTTGTTCGACCCCAAATGGGGTCCCGACCCACAGGTTGAGAACCACTGCCCTAAATTAAACCTGCCCCAAATCTCTTTTTACCTCTCTTTGTCTGAGCCAATGAATGGGCTTATCTTCTAATAAGCAATTGGGGGGGAGTAATTGCACTTTATTAAGTGGCTAAATCTTTCTAACCCCTACCTCTCAAGGTGATGAAAATAAATATGTCAGCTTTCTCAGAAGCTTAGTAAAGGCATCAGGCTGTTAAACCAACTTACTTACCTGTAGTTTCTCATTAGCTTTATGCCTGTGAAATATTCAGCCATTCAGCACTGCTTGTAAAATATTAAATCAGAGCTTTGTGATACTGGACAATAGGAATCTGTCTTCTGTTAGATGCCAAACTGTCAAGGTGACAGTGAGGATTCGAACATTGCAATACTGGTTTTTCAGAGAAAATGTGAGGTTGAAAGTTGATAGCATGCCTTCTCAGTAAGGTAGAAATGGATAGTTATTAGCTCTGTGGGAATCCGAAGTTCTTGGTAGAGATTCTTAAGCTTTGATTCATGGATTCTTGACATCTTGGGAGGCATGGAGTGAAGATTTGGAGAAGGGTCATCAGGACAGGGCTGTTTCTTTGGAAGCGGTTTGGTTTCAGTTTTTCCAAACATTTATTTGTGTTTGTCAGAAGGAGCACCACAGAGATGACTGAAATAGGTACATCCAGCCTATTGAAGAGAAGGATTGGGGGTGGGGACATGATAACTGTCTTCCAGTACTTGAGGGGCTAGAATAGAATAGAACAGAACAGAACAGAATAGAATAGAATAGAATATAGAATAGAATATAGAATATAGCTGGAAGGGACTTTGGAGGTCTTCTAATCAGCCCCCTGCTCAAGCAAGAGAACCTACACTGTCTCAGACAGGTGAATGTCTGAGTTTCCTCTTAAAAATCCCCAGTGATGGAGCGCCCACAATTTCTGAGGGTAAGCTATTCCACTGGTTGACTGGGATTGACTCATTCTGTAGGGCACTAGAGGGCAGAACAAGAAGTAATGGGTGGAAGCTTATTAAAGAGAGATCCAGCATAGAAATAAGGAGAAATGTTCTGACAGCAAGAACAATTAGTCAAGGGAGTAGCTTGCCTCCCGGAGTTATGGGTACCCCATTATTGAAGGTTTTATAAATAGATGACAACCATTTGACTCGGATAGTATGAGACTTCTGCCGTGAGCAGGGAGTTGGAGTAGAAGACCTTCAAGGTCCCTTCCAGCTCTATGATTCTATGTTCTATGTCCTAAGGGGTAGGCAACCTTGGCTCTTTTATGACTCGTGGACTTCAACTCCCAGAATGGCTGGCTCAGGGAGTTGAAGTCCACGAGTCATAAAAGAGTCAAGGTTGCCTACCCCTGTCCTAAGACATAGTTCCTCTCCCTGGTGGGTTATTTTAGTTCCAGGGACTGACTTAGCCCAACCTTTCCTACCCTGACAGGTCTCGGGATTCAGAATCTGCCCCTAAAAAGTAATGAAAGAGAGAGTGACAAATGTCTGATTTTGTTAATCATGCACATGTAATCCAAATAAAGACATATTTAATAACTTTTTAGAGAAAAATATGTAGTGTTCTAAGTAGGGGGTGGGCCTTTAGGATTTTTGATAACGATTAAGGGCTTTGATAATGATTTGATGGCTCAAATACTAAAGGTCAGTTCTGTTCTGGTAAGAAGACTACTTAATTGAAGATAGTTGGCATGGTACCAAAAGCAACAACAGGTGCTGGAGGTGAATGGCAAAGCAGATAGGAAGGGAATGAAGCCTGAATATCCGAGTCTTAATTATTTTATTTATTAAATTTATATGCCATCCTTCTCACAGTCACGCAACTTACAATCTGATAAAACAACATTATAAAATTAAAATGAATATTATAAAAAATTAAAACAGCAAGGCAATAAATATAACAGGGGTCTTCAAACTTGGCCCTTTTATGACTTGTGGACTTCAACTCCCAGAATTCCTCAGCCAGCGTGCCCGGCTGAGGAATTCTGGGAGTTGAAGTCCACAAGTCATAAAAGGGCCAAGTTTGAAGACCCCTGAAATATAACCTTAAAAATAAACATAACATAATAATAATAATAATATATACTAAAACATGCTCTATTTCTAAGCAAGTATTCTGAATGTCATCTTCTAGCTATGTCTGTGTGGAAATATTTCCTTGAAAACTACAGTTAATCCTCGACGTACAACCACAGTTGATCCCCAAATTTCTGTTACTAAGCAAGACAGTTATTAAGCAAGTTTTGCACCATTTTACAACCGTTGTTAAGTGAATCACTGCAGATTAAATGAATCTGACTTCCCCATTGCCTTTGCTTGTCAGAAGGTTGCAAAAGCTGATCACATGATCGAGGACACACTGCAACCGTCATAAATACATGCCAGTTGCCAAGTGTCCAAGTTTTGATTGTGTGACTGTGGGGATGCTGCAACAATCATAAGTGTGAAAAACGATCAGGTCACTTCTTTCAGTGCCATCGTGACTTTGAACGGTCACTAAACAAATGGTTGTAAGTCGAGGACTTCCTCTATGGAGTTTCCATCCAAGTAACAAAGGTGCTTTTTCACAAGGCAACTGGACTTTTTTGTTTTTCTTTGAAGACGTTTCGCTTCTCATCCAAGAAGCTTCTTTAGCTCTGACTGGATGGGGGTGAAAGGAAGGATTTATACTCCTTTGTATTTATACCTAGGACAGTGATGGCAAACCTTTTAGAGACTGAGTGCCCAAACTGCAACTCAAAACCCACTTATTTATCGCAAAGTACCAGGGCCGCATCAGCATTGTGATGCCCTCTTGGGGGGGGGGCAGGGAGGCGCCTCTGAGTGCCGCCTCTGGTACCAAAAACCAGGGGTGCAAAAATGGGCCACCGTGATGCACAAAAATGGCCACCACCGCGCCGTGGGGCGCAGATACAAGGCGCTGCACCACGCAAGAATGGGGCAGGGCTAGTGAGTATCACGCAGGCACTAGCTCTGCCCCATTTGCAGCGGGTGCGTACTCGCGGCCCTGTGCGCGCATGCATGCATGTAAAATGCTTTCCCCTCCTTTTTCTTCCAGTCCATCAATCGACAATGGTTGGTGACCTCTGCTCTACCACCTCTACTCAAGATTGCTAGTCAGCCGCTTCGCCTCCTTTGTGCTGGGTGGGGCTTCTGTTCCGGGCGGCAGTGGCAGCCTGCTGCTGGCGGTGGTGGCGCGCGTGCCATCAGAGAGGGCTCTGAGTGCCGCCTCTGGCACGCATGCCATAGGTTCGCCACCACTGACTAGGAGTATAAATCCTTCCATTCCCCCCCATCCAGTCAGAGCTGAAAAGCTTCTTGGATGCGAAGCGAAATGTCTTCAAAGAAAAGACAAGAAAGTCCAGTAGCCTTGTGAAAAAGCACCTTTGGGACAACCACGACCTGGATGACTAAGAATCTCCACAGACATCCAAGTAATACATATAAGATAAGGTGTTGTTCTCCACACTGATGAATTTCCAAGTTATGAACAGCCAGCAAACCAGAGTTAAAGAAGCAGGATACTATTTTGTTTTTCCCTCCTTCACCCCAGCAAAATTAGAGCCCTCTTCCTTTTTCCTGCATCCTTTCTCAGAGATATCTGTGCTTTATCTTAAAATAAGATGGCCCTCCTTATGTATTATTCTATGTTTCGCCTATCAATCTGATCTTACCTTATTTGTTTTTAAAACACGCTGCACTCCAGGGGCAGAGTCATACCCACTTGGCAGGCTTTGGTTGACTTAAAAAACTTGGCTGGGGTTTGGCTAGACTCAGGCTCAAGAATGGTGAGTTCAGCAAATTATGTCTGAAAGAGAACTGCAGCTAAGCTTCTTTTTCCAACTGCTTGGTTCCTCCTGCCTCTTTCCTATTTAAGGAAGCTCCCCGTGGATAGATGAGAGCAAGAATAAATGAGGGAGGAGAGATTTTCAGAGAGGGCTGACAGGCAGGTGACAGTTGCAAAACCACCTCTTTGTACACTGATTTCCTTCTGCACATCTGCTTCCTGCCCCACCTTTGGCAGTTCAGGGGAATATCAGGCCAGACAATGAGAGAGACGCAGGGTGGACGAATTGACAAGGGGAATGAAATGAATTTTTTTTTTTTTACTGCTTTTACTTCGCATTTCATTGGAAAGGTTCCCAATGCAAAGTATATGTTGGTGTGTGGGTAGGAAGCAATCCCTGTTCATGCTTTGATGCAGAAAAACATACTTGTAGAAAGATGGAAAAGAAGAAACGAACAGATGTCTCTGTTTAATATTATAACAATCTCAATCACTTCCTCTGTGATCCGATTGAAGGATTGTGGTTGGAGAAGAGGGGAAACTTAATAGATCTGACTTCTCCAAAGAGCTGCTTTTTTCTTTTTTCTGCTTTCTTGTTGAATCTAGTGCTATGGGTTTTGAATTAGATCTTCAGATTTCCTCCTTTTTTAGGCTTCTACAGTTCCGTGTGTTTACTATACATGTTTGGAACCATCTGTGCATATTCTGAATATCTTGGTTTTTTTTTTCCTTCTTGTGACCATGAAGAATGATGGGGAAACTGATACTCGGCATCTGGCCTAATTGATTCAGAGATGTGAAGAATAGACAAAAGTTGTTGCAGGCTTCAGCATCCTCTCACTCCTGAAGGTCAGGCTCCAAAATCCATAGTATGTGTGCATAGGAAGAGAATGTTTTTAATTTGCGAAGAGCTGGGAAGATGGAGGGTTGCCCCATCCTGCATCACCTAGTACAGTGGTGGCAAACCTATGGATGGGTGCCAGAGGAGGCACTCAGAGCCCTCTCTGTGGGCACACAGGCTGTTGCCCCAGCCTCGCCTCCCCCCGTGACCCCCTCCTCTCCAGCAGCCCCCTTGGAGGAGAGTTGCCCCTGAGCGTGGCCCACACGGAGCAGAGCAGCCAAAGACATGGCAGCCAGGCAGACAAGACTCTGCCCTCACGCCCCATCATGCACAATTGATGCTGCGGGGCACAGGCAGAGGGCGTGACCGCCATAGTGCTGCTGGGCTGCCTGGGCGATCTGCGGCAGGCCCTGGAGGCAGTGAGTGGCCCTGTGGGCAGGCGGGGCAGGGGATGGGGGGGTGGAGCGGGGGCAGGGCAGGGGGTGGAGCGGGAGCGGAGCCAGTTTTTGGGCACTCGGTCTCTAACAGGTTTGCCATCACTGACCTAGTAAGAATAGAAGTTGTTGAAAAGAATAAGGAAGAGGAGGAAGTGACTGTCACTCTTCTTACAAAGCCTGGATATCTTTAAAGGTTAGCTATTATTTGAGATGATTTGTCTAGAAAATGTCTTATAGAATTTTGCTCTCTTTTACTTAACTCTTTTACATATTTTGTTGGAAGGAAGAAGGAAAATCTGTAGGCATGATGTGTGTGGATGTTAGAATAGTTGGTGTATGGAAGATTCAGTTGGTTTTATAATTAGTTGTCTAATTCAACTAATTAAGTGATCATTATTAATCTTGGTAGAATATTTGTAGCTCAAGATTGAACTGTGGGGTCCTTGGTGCTCTCTGAGCTTGATTGTTTTCTTGCAAACATTTCTTTACTCAACAAGCTAACAGTAAACAATCTAATCAAGGAAGCACCAACAGCACTCCCACCAATACTGGCAGGACAAACCAGTAATATATAAACAAAGAGAAAACACCACTCCCTTCTAGCACTGATGATGTTACCTAGTTGGATAATGAAACGTCTACAAGAAAACAGCCAGGTGCAAAGAGTACAAAGGACCCCAGTCAGCTTATGGTCACTCACTCACACACTTACAGGCCTAGAAAACAGCCACACTCAAATCACTTTCAACCCAACACTGAGACACAAATACAACCGGTTCTTTAGAATACATGGGGACAAAGTAAATTTAAAATAACAGCAAAACTTTACTGGTTACAATATGTATTCATTTACACTCTCTTTCTCTCTCACACACACACATAACACACACACAAATCCACATACAGATACTCATCCACGCTTACCCACTTCTCAACTAGGCTGGGAGGCGCTAAAAGAGGGAAAGAAGCCTACCCTTCTACTCCCCAAATTCCTTGCTTTGTTTATTCCCAAGTCTGGTAGCTGCTGATGGGATTTGGGGAGGAGTTTTCCATGTGCTCAGCCCAATTTCTTTTATTTGGTTCAGATGTGACATTTTTTCCTTTGTTTTCTGAACCACTTGGTTCATTTTTAACTACTTCTCCTAAAGGTCTTTTACGGAAAATTAGATGCCTTTGTTCACCCTGCTTATGTGCCTGCTTCATCTTTAGGTATGTCTTCAGTCTAGATCCACACCCCATAATACAATCCTTTGGGGGAAGGAATGTAGTCTGTGATAGGTATGGACTATGGAATCAGAGCAGGACCCAAAGCAAATCCTCATTACTGCAGGGCCTATTAGACAGCATGTACTGGTGGGACTCCCTTCAAGGGAATATTTAGAGGGACCCCACCCAACAAAGGCAGGCACTCATATTTATACATCTCAGAATGGCAGGAGAGACTAATCCATAAGCAACACATGATGTAAGCATAAAGGATCTCAAGTTACTACAGGTAATGGAGCTCAGGAATAAAGCAATAAATGAATAAAACAGGGAGGGGAGCATTTCCCATAAATTAAGAGGAGGAGGCAGTTTGGGAATGCCAGATGCCAAAACGAAGTTTCCTATTACAAATCTATGGGTTTGTTCTAATAAGATAACTAACTGGCCTTATATCTCTGTAGGTCAACTTGATTTAATTGATTCCACTCATCTAAGAACTAATTTCCCCCACAATCCAAACCAACAGATGTGTGCATACACGTATGCCAGTACGTCACATGCATACATTTATTGGTCAAGGCAGGAAAGGATTGAGCTTGACAAAATGGGGAACTTGGGCATTGTGCAGAACTTTGGGGTATATATTTTTTCTGCCTAATTTTCCTTTAAAAAAAAAAATCTTCAATTTAGGCCCTTTTCCTTGCTTCTTACCCTGCTTTCTACTTTGCCTTTTGTTTTGGTTACGTATTTTAATTTGCAGGATTGCAGCATATGGTAGCAAAACAGGCCTATTCCATTCAGAATATAGAACAGAAGCAAATCTCTAACTTCCTTTTACGTGCCGTAAGCATGATCTTCCAAATGAATTCAGGCTTATTGGACTCGAGTTAATAATAATAATAATAATAACAATAGTAGTAGTAGTAGTAGTAGTAGTAGTAGTAGTAGTGGTAAAGTTGGAAGGGACCTTGGAGGTCATCTAGTCCAACTCCCTGCTTGGGCAGGAAACCCTACACCATTTCGGACAAATGTCTGTCCAGTCTCTTCTTAAAAACTTCCAGTATTGGAGCATTTACTGCTTCTGGAGGCAGGTTGTTCCACTGATTAATTGTTCTCACTGTCAGGAAGTTTCTCCGTAGTTCTAGGTTGCTTTTCTCCTTGATTAGTTTCCACCTGTTGCTTCTTGACCTGCCTTCAGGTGCTTTGGAAAATAGCTTGATTCCCTCTTCTTTATGGCAGCCCCTGAGATATTGGAATACTGCTATCATGTCCCCCCTTGTCCTTCTCTTAATAAAAAGGAATTTTCTGACGGTTTAAAACCGATTTCTGAAGATGGTAAAAGTGGCAGTGAAATAATTAAAGTTAGCTGCCCTATGAATCTTGCTTTGTGAAAGCACCACATTTTTTTTTAAAAAAAATTGCTTTACAGAACTGCTTGGGTAGCCAAAGATACCAGGCATTTGATTTCTGTTCATTTCCATAGTTTTCATAAAGTAGTTCTTATTTAACAAACATAATTAGGGCTGGCAACTCTGTTGTTTAGTGCCACGGTTGCTAAGCAAAACATCATGTGACTGTGATGGAGTTACGGCCTCACTCCTACTGCAGTTGTTAGGTGAATCACCAGGGGTGTTACACAAAACATCACATGACCATGACTACTGCTGCCTTCTCCATTGGCTCTGCTAGATAGTTGCAAAGTACACAGTGTGGTGATTATCCAGTGGTGGGATTCAGCTGGTTCACACCGCTTCGGCAGAACTGACAGCTACTTTTTGATGCTCAGGCCCAGAATGGACTTCCGGAAGTGGTATCCACACAGAGAACTGGTTGTTCACATATTTTAATCCCACCACTGTGATTATCCAACTGCGAGATGCAGCACAGGTTGTAAATGCAAGGACCAGTCATAAAGTTTACCTTTTCAGTGCCATTGTAACTGGCAGGCACAAAAATCAGGAACCAGGATTGTCCAGATAAATACAAGTTTACTCCATTCTATCTCTCAACAAGAATCTGAATGCCCAAAGGTGCTTTTTCAAAAAGCAACTGGACTTTCTTTGTTTTTGCTTGAAGACATTTTGGTTTTCATCCAAGAAGCTTTCAGTTCTGAAGAAGCTTCTTGGATGAGAAGCAAAACATCTCCAAGGAAAAATAAAGAAAGTCCAGTTGCCTTTTGAAAAAGCACCTTTGGGACAGCCGTGACCTAGATGACTGAGAATCTCCATAGACAAGAATCTGAACTATTAATGATCAAGGCAAATTAGTGCCAAATAAGAATCAACAGAATTCAAGGTGGGATGGTTTTAGATCTCTTGTGGGGGTGAAATGACTCCAAACTAATGACACACTTGACTCCTCCCTCAGGCTCAGCCTGCTCATTTCCTACAGCAGGGGTCCTTAAACTACGGACTGCTGGCTCGATGCCTTGTCTTTTTATCCGGCCTGCTTTCACCCAGGATACCAGGTCCTATGCTGCTTGCCACCTCCTGTGAGCGTGCCGAGGCAGGTTCAGCTTCTTGTTAGCTTCGATTCGCCTGGTCTAGCCTCTCCGCGCTGTGAGGAGAGCGCAGAGCTGCCTGCCTGCTGGGCAGGCTGGGGGCTGGGTGGCAGATGCCGACTCTCACTCCTCTCTCAACGTCCCCTCCCCTGGAGCCTACAGAGTCAGGTGTGTGAAGTGGGCGAGGGCCAATTGCTAGTCATCTCCAGCCAATGGTGCCTTTCTTCATTCCTCATGGAGGGTGACACTTCCCCAGCTGCATTTCTTGCCTGTTTTTCTCCCTCATTGCAAATATCTTCCTGCCATTCTGCTGTTAAGGCTGTCTGGCTCTTGTCCAGGAATTTACAATGGCCTTTCAAGCCATGGCCACCGGCAACATGCTGGCAACCTCTCCCCCTCCCCTTGTCCCTTCCTGGGCCTGGAGGGAGGAAGGAAGGAGATGGGAATGAGAAAGAGGGAGGGAGGAAGGAAAGAGATGAAAAGGAGGGAGGCAGGGAAGGAAGGAGGGGAGGGAGGGAGATAGGAATGAGAAAGAGGGAGCCAGGGAAGGAAAGAGTGTAGGGATGGAGGGAGGAAGGAAGGAGATGGGAATGAGAAAAAGGGAGATAAGGATGGAAGGAGAGGAGGGAGGGAGGAAGGAGATTGGAATGAGAGGGAGGGATGATCTGAGAGAAATCCTGCCTTATTCCTGCCCTGATGCCCTTTTGCCATCCCCTTGCCCCTTCCTCCTGGCCTATCCTGATGGTCTCCCATCCTATCGCTAAGGATGCTTTGGTTATAATCATTAATTTTTTTCAAACTATAGTCCGGCCCCCCAACAGTCTGAGGGAAATAAACTGGCCCCCTGTTTAAAAAGTTTGAGGAC